TTTGAACAATCACAGTCTTAAATATGATATTTTTCTGCACATTTTAGCACACAAATTCATTTTATCTGTTAAAAAAAGAAAACTTAAATGTGCCATAACAAACCACATTTTATTTAATATTTTGCATTTTTTCAACAAAACATGTAATTTGACCAGGGGTGGCAATTGTGCACGTGTCTTACTGATACTACTGTACACTGATCATGTTCCTGGAACTATTGGGTGTTTCAGGTCTTTCAGTATTACACACCCTCCTCCAGGCATCCCAGACCCATGGCTGATCAGACCCAGCCTCATGTCTAGATGGCAAACTAGCTGCTCTGCCACCATGGCTCTCCTCTCTTGAGCCACAGCCACCTTGAGGCTCTTCCTGCTGCACCGGTGGTGCTACGGATGGCTCTTCTCCTCCTCTCTCCCTCAATGCCCAGTGAGCTAGGAGCTCTGAATAGAGACCGGGCTGCAAAGCCCCTGAACCCAACCTCTGTTGGCAAGCATCTTGCTCTCTAACCACTTTGCCAACAAAAATTTGCTTACAATTGTATCTTGCTTAAAAAACACAGACGCTGGTGTGCCTACCACTAGGGGGGCTGTGTGTACAAGCTCAAATAAAAAAACAAATTTAACAAGTTTACAGTTAACATTTATAAGCAGAAAGATGATGCTGTGTTGAACAAATGACTCCTACGCTAAATGACTTGTTACTTCATGAGAAGAGGTTCTGGCTGATAAAGTGCTTTACATTCCACAGGGGCATTTTACACACAAGTGCGCAATTTTGGGGGACTTTTTTTTCCCATTCTCCCCAGAGAGGCAAGAAACTGCTTGGCAGCTTTCAGAACTTCAGTCTCATTCTCTTTCTACCCTAACTTTAAGAGTATGATCTCACTTCAGGAAAGTGCAGCGTGTGTTAACTTATGCTACATTATTTATCTGCAGCCCATGTTCCAGTGCAAGGCTTATTGCAGGCTGGGAGCTTGAACTACACTCCGCCAAACTTGAACTCTCTCAGGGCGAGAATAGAACATCAGTCTGTGAATGCCTCACTTTGCTAATGGCCTGCTTTATGTCTTTCTTAGTAGCTGTCCTCCAGTCTCATTTCACTTTTTATCTTTTCCACTTTCACCTCTCAACTCCATTTCATCAGGCTCCCCCCTGTATATTGCTCTTGCATTCCCAAGGTGTTTACATTTTCCTTTTTAAGGGTAACGATCAAGGCTACATGCAGTTAGATTAATGGTTTATCAGGCTTTTGTGTTATTGAAAGTACACTGCAGTAGTGAAATGACTACAGCAGCCAATGCACTGCTGCGCATTCTCCAGTAGATGATTGGCTGATTACAGATGGTGCTATATGACCAGACAATGAAATGAGTGTATATCAAACATGATCTTGCCTCAAGAGTAATTTACAGCGTAAGTAAATACATTTTTGTTCGAGCATATTTATATGTAATGAACAGCTATGAATGGAGAAAGAACACAACTTTTGCAGAAGTAAAAATTTCAGACTTGCACTAAAGCACTTGCTCTAAAATATACTTGAAAAAGTTCAAAGTAAATACAGATGAATAACTTACAATATATGAATCATTCTACCGAACTGGTTCGAAGTCAGAGTTAAAAACTCATTTCAGACTTTTCACTGACTTAGACTTTAGACTGAAATCTTTTTGCTTTGAATGACCCTACACCTTAATTATGTTTATTTTATTAAAACAAATGATAAAAATTCCATTTTGTCACTACTAAAACAATATTTATGCCTCCAAAACTTTACCAAATGTTTCAGTAGTGACAATTTTAGATCATTTTAAAAAATAACTCAAAAACACCAGCCAGTACATGACTAGCAGCCACAGCTTTGAACAGTTGCACACATATCAAATTATAATATTTTTTATTAAAGCACAAAAAAGTTTACTTAAGTGCAGAAAATATGTGTTTCTGTAGTGACAATTCTTAATGTTACACACGATTTTTAGACTTACTTCAAAGCAATGGAATGTAACTTCTTGTCATGTGGCCATGAGGGACAGGGATGCAGTCTCACTTCCTGATCTAAAATGCAGGGGTGTGGCTATAATAATGCCCTGCCTATAGACTAAAACTCTTTGTGTTTCTATGGCATAAAAACGTGGGACAGCATTTTTTTAATATAGTTTTTTTTTATTAACTCATTATAATCAAAATTTTTCAGCTTCACTCCTGTTGGCAGATGTTTGCAAGATATCAATTCTTTAGAGCATCACAGTGACAAAAGAAACTATTCAGAAGTATTAAATAATTTTAACTTTAGCTCTACTGCAAAAAGATCTACAATTAAAGATTAGATATTATACACATATCTGTTAACAGGAGTTATAACTTCATAAATGAGATATCTAATTACTGAACCATAAGATATTTTGTCATCTTTGTCATTTTGTCATATACTGGACAAAGCATAAAGCTTAAATCACTATTAAAAAAGATTTTGTTGCAGTGATTTGTATACATGTACTGATGTACAACTCACTGTCTATTAGTGAAAAAGTTTGTAAATGTACAGAAATACACCTTGTACAACATTTATAAATATAAATGCACACAGCAACAACTACTTGAAGTGCCATTTATAAGCATTTGTACATTTTAAAATTCTGATGAAGTAATGATTTGTAGCTGTTAATGGTCAGTTAATGGTTCATTAAACAAAGATATTATGAAGTGTTACCTTTTTTTTAAACGAGTACAGTAGAATCACAAATAGGCCATATGTTTTTTAAATACTGTGAAAAGAATGTCCAAAATGTCCAAAACTTCAAAACAAGAAGAAAATTGAAAGAAAATACTCAGAAATTATACTTCAGTACAGGAATACTTCTGTTACTCTCTATACCTGAAAACATCAGCATGCTTATAAGGACAAGTTTCAAACAACTCTGCAAGCTTAGCCTTTGGTAAAGCAGAGGCTATTCTAGGATTTCACCATTAGGGGGCTCAGCTCCCAAAGAGAATTAAAAAATAATGTATTGAGCCATTAGATTTGCCTGATTGTCAAGGACATTAAGGGTTAATTAGCATAAAAATACTGGTAACTGTTGCCTAGTAGGATTGGTTGAAGCATAATACAGAAGATTTGCACAAACTCAATGACTTGTTTGATGAAGTGTTAAACTGATTGCCTTTTATGAAGAAACGTTTAAGCCACATGTCATCTAATATCAGTCTGTGGTTTTGGTCTTGTTTTAATGTCTTTTAGCTGGTGGTGTCTGAGAACCTGGTCAGTTCTGGGAGTAGGAGAGCAGTTTTCCATTTATTTTTTTTCTAGTCTTTATTATAGGTCATTTTCTACATGTTTATGGACAGGATTGGGATGTAACGGAATACAAGTATTGGGAATACGTATTCAGAATACCAAAGTTAGGCATCTGTATTCAGTCCAAGTTACAGTTTGAAAAAGCAGCATTCAGAATACAGTTACCTTTTGCATTTTCAGGAGAATACTTTTAGAATACTTGCCCACTGAAATAAAAAAAAAAACATTCACTTTTCTAATAATCTTTAAAGAAACACCATTGATGCTTGTTTTTTGAACTATGGCATGTTGCAAACATGCTTATAAGAATAATTATAAAGAGGACGTCAATTAATGGCTTCTTTACAAACTAGACTAGACTTTACAAAGTAGACTGATAAATCAAGGCGATGAGCCAGTTATTAATCTCAGTGTTACTGAGCTCTTTGGAGGGATGATCAAATTTATAATATATAATATATAAAAGTGCTGAACATTGGAATGTTGCTTCAGTGTTGTACTGGACTGCTGCACGGGGGATCGTGGGAGCAGCAGATATCAGGTTTTCTATACAAGCAAAAACCACAGTACCATGCTGCACCTCGCCTGTCGTTCAGATACAGCTTTAGTGGGTTATGAAAAGCTTCATGCCAGAATCTTCAATATGGCTCAAACCACAAAATCGCAGAATGAAGGGAAAACTTGAAGGACAGTTTGCTGTTTGTTTACTGCAGCGCTGCAGTAACAGCGGAAAGAAATGGGTCACAGAATCTGAGGATTTTAATTTATTTGGGAAAGAATGACATTTTCCGGGTGGCTGAGATGAAGACGGGGGGCTGAAAGCCCCCTATATATGATCTAGAATCACCCCTGGGCAAAGGTTAATAGTTTTTAAATGCAGGGAGAAAGTGAAAGTTTTTAAGATCCCTTTAAAGTGCAGAACATCTTTGAGATACACCTAAATTCCAGAACATGCAGGTTTGAGACTTTGTGTCTCATCTTTCTAGGAGGCCACCATGATGACTGGAAGGTATGCTTGTGACAGCAGTTCTGTGGTTATGAAATACAGTGAAAAGGATGAGATTTAGAATGGGTGGGTGTAAGAGGCTTAGGGAGGGAGGGAGCTATTGTTCTGGCTTTGCAGGTGTCCGTGTTTGTGTGTGCATGTGTGTGTACTTTGTTTTGCTTTCTTTGTGGGCTCCAAAGTGTCACTGTGATAATAGAAAACCAAGATAATTATGGTGGGAGGTTTTGACAGGTATTTATGAATCTTACAAAACAGAAAGTTTTGTATTTGGTTACTGATATTAAGTAAGGATTATTTTTGTCTGTATATGTAGGGAGGATGCAATGGACAAAACACAGCAAAATGAATGTAACAGGCCTATTTCTTGGTCTCCAGAATGTTCTTTCTCTTTTTGGCCCCTCTCTTCACAAGACCACACAATAATACACTAAACTCATCTGCTGGAAGAGGGGTGTAAATTTACTCCTTTCCATAGACATGCCATTTTTAGAATAGGCTAATATTTCACTTCTTGTACTGTCTGTGTTCCATTACTTGAATGGTTGACTGATGGACTGACTGACACACTTACTGACAAGATGATTCCTTAGCTTGTTCATTCATTTATTCTTCCAATTGTGAATGTTTTATTTTTCAACAGTCTATCAAGTTTGCAATGTTTTAACAATTTAACAATGTTTTTTTTTTTGTTTTCAGAAAAAAGAGTGGCTCTGTCTGAACTGTCAGACAGAGCGACTGATGTCTGGTGGGCTTGACGACTCACCTCTTCCTGTTCCTCATCCGTCTCCAAAGCACCAACCAATGGGCTCACCACGGCATCAAGCACCGGCCGGTCAGCAACCAGCTCAGCAGCCAACCTTTCAGAAAGTCTCCAGTAATCAGCAGCAAGGGCCCAAGGCAATGCCACCACAGCAGAAAGCCCCAGCAGCTCAAGAGAGTGGTCCTATTGCCCCCACTGCATCCAAACTGGCAGGAGATATGAAACCCACCTCACAGTCCTCCTCTGCTCCTACATCCACACCAGGCAGTGAAGCACAGAAAAAGGACAAGACAACACCCAAACTGGACAAGGAGCCTGAGCATGTCTCAGCAGTCACTGAGGAGATTAAGTCTACTCACAAGAAAGGAACAACAGAACCCATTTCAACCTCCACTCCAACTAAAGATGAAAAGAGGGAGTCACAGCGATCAAGATATTATGAGGTAATCCTTTCTCTTCATATCTATGACTGGTATTTAAGATTTATATCATTCATGGCAGGGGAATCAAATGTATGCTTGCAAAGCACAGAATTTTGTAGTTAAATTTTTTCACATAGTTGACACTTAGGGATATTAATTTCTGTACAAAATGAGAGCAAAGAATATGGAGCCGAGATGCATTTTATTTTTTAAAACCTCAGTTCAGTGTTGATACAATTTTAACTTTATGCTGATATAAATCTAGCTCATGACATCCCATGCACTTAATACTTGAGACACTAAATTCCACAGCAGTTGGAAGCAGTCTGCCATCTTTAGTCTTTAAGTGTCTTAAAGTGCATTGTCTTTGTGTTCTAGCTGAAGTGTGTTATTTATGTCTAGTAAACACTGCAGGGGGAGCAAGAGATGATAGATTTACACTTAAAGCGAGAGAGAGGAAAGTAATGCCCTTTTCTCTCAAGCTCATTCCTCTTTCTCACTTCTCCTAAAATCCAACTGAAGAGTGAAGAGAGTGAGTTGTAACATAAACATGCAGCAACAGATGAGTCATAAAGGCTTTTAGGTTATAAAATATTACATAAACAATTGTTTCAATGGCTTTACTCCAGTGTCCTGTACTACAACATTTTCCAACTTAAAAAATTGAGTCCTGAGCTTAAGCATGCAAAGACTAAAATATCTAATTTGTGTGTTTTATGGTCTTTTTGGATTTCCCTAGGAGGCGAGCAAAACAAACAGTACTCACGACCTGTCTCGGAGCCCGCAGAGTCTGAGTGATACAGGCTACTCCTCTGATGGGATATCGAGCTCACATAGTGAGATTACTGGCCTCATCCAGGAAGAAGAGATAAAGTTAAGTGAGAGGGGCTTGTCTGGGCACCATACGCCACCAAGCCCCTCTGAGATAACTAAACTTGAAAGTTCTATGCGCCCTCTATTAGAATCCAAGTTATCTTCAGAAGGAGAAAGAACACGGGACAAAGAGCGTGGAAGAGACAGGCACCACAGAGATACAGATGACAGAAAGCAAAGATCCCATTCACTGTCAATCAGTCCAGAGGAATATGACTCGGATGAGGAACTGGAGGATATCATGGAGGAAGAGGAGGACCCGGCTGACTGGGAGGCTAAGCGAGAGCTCAGAGCAATGGCTGCTGCAGGAGAGGAAAAGAAAAAGAAAAAAGTGGAACCTGCTGAGATGACTGATGAGGAATTTATGAGAAGGCAGATAATGGAGATGAGTGCAGATGAGGAAAATGAGGATGAAGAGGAGGAAGAAGAGATGGAGGATGAGGAAGAGGAGGAGGAGGAAGAAGAGGAAGAGGATGAAGGATATGGCTACCAAAAGCCAAAAAAGATACACAAGCACATCAGTGACTCAGGGAAAGAAAAGCGCCGTCTCACTCACCATTCAAGCAGCTTTGAGGAGGAGAGCAAAACAACCAGTGACATCTACAAAGGGTCAGCTGAGGAGGGTGAGGAGGACATAATTGGATCACAAGGAGGCTTACGGAGATTCAAGACTATTGAGCTGAACAACACCAGCAGCTACAGCCGAGACATGGAACTCAGCAATGAAAATGACTTAAACCTGGACAGAGAGCCTGAACTTGAAATGGAAAGCCTTACAGGTTCTCCAGAGGAGCGCTCAAGAGGGGAGTATTCCTCCACTCTCCCACCAACTACTTCAAGCTACACCTCGGGAACATCTCCTACTTCTGTTTCCTCTATGGAGGATGACAGTGATAGTAGTCCCAGCCGGAGACAGCGCCTGGAAGAGGCAAAGCAACAGAGGAAAGCCAGACACCGGTCCCATGGCCCACTCCTTCCCACCATAGAGGATTCCTCAGAGGAAGATGAACTAAGAGAGGAGGAGGAACTCCTGAGGGAGCAAGAAAAGATGAGAGAAGTGGAGCAGCAGAGGATCCGAAGCACTGCCAGAAAAACAAAACGTGATAAAGAAGAACTGAGGGCACAAAGACGCAGGGAAAGGTCTAAGACTCCTCCTAGCAATCTGTCTCCCATCGAAGATGCCTCCCCAACAGAGGAACTGAGGCAGGCTGCTGAAATGGAGGAACTCCATCGTTCTTCCTGCTCAGAATACTCACCTTCAGTTGACTCTGAGGCTGAAGGCTATGAAATGTCATCTAAGCTCTACAAGTCTGGCAGTGAGTACAATTTGCCGACATTTATGTCGCTTTATTCTCCTACTGAAAAGCCAGAGACTACATCCTCTACTACTATTACAACTACCTCCTCAAGTGGTAAACCTCTAAAAAGTGCAGAGGAAGTTTATGAGGAAATGATGAGGAAAGCTGAGATGTTACAGAAACAACAAAAGCAGCAGCAACAGCAACAGTCTCGCTCAGTACCACAGTATAGCACCAATGCCTACCAAGAGGAGGACAGAAGAAATGGACAACAGTATGATGATGAATATGAGTATATCGACCAAGATGATGCTGGCTATGAAAATGAGGAAGCAAGTGATATCTATGAGGAGATTCGTCAGACATCACAGAATATTACCAAGCAATTAGATGATCAAGTGGAAATGGATGTGTCTTATCCAGATAAACAACTTCTTGACACAGGCTCAGCTTTTGCTAAACTCCTGGAGCAGAGCAATGCCCTCCTGACTCCTGGCACAAGCCCAACACAACTGTCAGCCCCTGTGTCGTTCTCTGAAACAGGAACAGGGGGACGAATACCTGATGTCAGGGTAACTCAACACTTTTCCAAAGATAAAGACCGACTTAGAAGTCATGCTGGCAAAAATGGTATTACACCTGCAGCTGCAGCCACCACTATCACTGCATATGGAGTATATTCCAGGGATGCTGTCACAGTCTCACAAACCAGTACTAGTCAAACAATGACTACAACACAGTCCACCCTATATGGCCGCCAGACAAGCAGCACTGTCACATCTACCACCAGTGTTTCAAGTGTGTCCAGCAAAATAGCTGAAATCACCCAGGCTTATAGTCATCGAGAGGGAAGGAGAATGTCAGACAGCAGGGTCCAAATGAGCGCAACACCACCAGAGTCGGTAGTTGAACCTCGAGCTCCTAAAGTCTATGCATACTACAAGGGGAGCCCACCTCTTTCCCCCACTTCTCCTCCTACTCATAGTCCAGCCCGATCACCTTCTAGAAGAACAGCTGAATTTTCAACTCAGACTTTCAGCCCCTCAATGATGGCATCCTCTGGAAGTTCTGGTCCAACATCTCCTGTTAAGGCACAGGCCACACAGACACCTCACCACGTCTCACCACGTCTCTTTAGACAACAGTCTTCTCAGGATGCCCCTTTTATGGTGATCACTATTGGTTCAGAGCCCAGTAGCCCATCAAAACCAGTTACAGTTAACACTGCCACCTCTCCCTTGTCCTCACCAACAAAGTTCAGTCGTCAGTCAACGTTTGATGCCTATTCACCACCTGTGAGCCCCCCTGACACACCACCACACCAACAGTCACCTCAGCATGGTTTCTACAGAACCCACAAGATTGAGAGAGTTAATGTTGGGACAAGCATGGTAACTACTGCTAGCACTTACACTCGTGGATCACTGTCAATGGAAAACATATCTCTCTGTCGCATTTCCACAGTCCCTGGTACCTCAAGAGTTGAGCAAGGCCAAAGGTTACAGAGTGCAAGTGTGGTGGACCTAAGAACTGCTACTAAGTCAGCTCCAATTATTATGACAGATCAGGGAATGGACTTGACTTCTTTAGCCACAGAGTCACGAAGATACTCAGGCAGTGCTGAAGGGAGCCCCATCCGACATTCCACAACTATTCAGCCCCTCATTATGAACCTAAATGCCCAGGAACAGCCACATGTGATTGTTTCAACAGCTACAACAGTCAGTGTAACTGTTGCTGCCTCCATGTTCATATCTCAACCCAAGCATCCTGTGGTGTATGGTGATCCCCTTCATAACCGAGTTGACTTTGGCCAGGGTATGGGAACAGTGGTATGCCTTGCACAGAACAAACCACCACCAGTTGACCCATCTATACCAAATATTGATGCCAAGTTAGAAGACCTGAGTATTCAGCAGCAGCAATTACTTAAGCAGCAGCAGAAGCTCCAGCAGCAACAGCAGCTCTTGGAGCAGCAACTTCAACAACATCATCAACTTCAACAACAGCAGGCTGCTTCTTTTGCAAAGCTTAATCTATCCACTCAGTTGCCATTATTAAAAAAGGACCTGCTTGTCAGTCAGACAAGCACTGCCCCAGTGGTCAGTGTAATATCTCCAGCTGTGGCACCTGAGATGTACAGCATTGGGGGTCCCCTTGAGGTGAGGAGTAAGCCAGCAGAGCCTGGTGCTGTGAACCTTACAACTGTTCAGCCTCATGTTATGATGGTCCAGGCAGATGGTACTGCACAAGGAGCACCTATGACCCAGTTGATCAAACCAGAAGAAGGCCAGGATGCAGTGGATCTAACAGGGCAAATCAAGAAAGATAACCAGGTGGCTTGCTGTGATGTAGTTTATAACCTGCCCTTTGGTGGTAGCTGTGTGGGAGGTCCATTCTCCCAAAAACCAATGGCAGAAGAGACAGCAAATGTTACAGAGCCATCAAGACCACCTTCTGCACCACCACAGCTCTACCAACCACTACAGTCAAAGCAAGATAGGCAGCCATATCAAGATTTTGCTTTGAAATCATACACACTTCCTTTCCCTGGCCGGCTCCAGCCATCCATGTCTGAGACCAACCTAGCAGAAGCAGGGCTCCAATCCTACCCATCAAAGCTTGACCCACATTTGCAGGCTTCTGGAGAGTTAGCCATGGATTTAAGCTCAGTGAAGCATGGCTATGAAGGAGGATATTTTGGGATGGGACTTCAGTATGGCTCCTACACAGATCTTCGTCAGGGTGATGTGGCAGCTCCACCTCTACCTATGAGAAGGTACAGCTCCTTGTCCAATATCAGTTCAGATTATGGATACTCTTCACGTGACCTTGCTAGTTTCCAGGAGGCTAACCTTGCCCAGTACAGTGCCACTACTGCTAGAGAGATTAGTCGAATGTGCGCAGCCCTTAATTCAATGGATAGATATGGCAGCAACCCCAATCTTTTACAGTTAGGTACTGGACGAGGAGGTGGTGCTCCTAGCAGAATTAATGTGCAGCAGGGTCCTAGACCCAGCTTCATGTATGGCCCTGACGGAAAGCCTCTTTCCCTAGCTCTCACCAACCTCATCAATGCAAGGCAAGCAAGCCTTAGAGCTATGTATCCATCAGCTATTAGATCAGCTGATGGTATGATCTATTCAACTATCAACACACCCATTGCATCTACTGTACCAATCACAACTCAGCCTGCTTCTGTGTTGCGTCCATTGCTAAGAGGTGTTTACAGACCACACCCCACACCAAATATGACACCAGTACCTCTGGCTAGCCTCTCAAGAATGCCTGTGGCACCCAGGATGGCACTCACAGGGCAAGCACCTTATCGTTTCCCAGCACCCAGCCGTCTACCTGTTACCACTAGTGAGCCAGTTACAGTTACAGCAGAGCAGAATGTACCTGTCTATCTTGGAAAGTCTCCAGTAAGCTCCTCAATGTCTGGGACAACTGCAGCACTAACTCAGACATCTGCTGTAACAGCACCAATGCCTGTCTTAACACAAGTGGTTGCTCCATCAGTCCAGCCTCAGCAGCAGCCAATAAATTTATCTCAGCCACACCTTCACACCCAGCCTCCTGCCCAACAGCCTCCAACTTCACAGCCCCAACCTCCACCTGCTCATTCTTATCCTCCTACTCAACTTCTAACCCAGTCTGTTTCACAGCCACCTCCTTTGACACAAGCAACTGCAACCACAGCCACAGCTCTGGGAGGCCCTCCACCAGAAAAGGAGACAGATGAGGAAAGGCTACATCGACAACAGGAACAGTTACTGCAGTTAGAAAGAGAGAGAGTTGAGCTGGAAAAATTGAGGCAACTGCGGCTCCAGGAAGACCTTGAGCGGGAACGTGCAGAATTGCAACGGCACCGTGAAAAAGAGCATATGCTGGTGCAGCGGGAGATTCAGGAGTTGCAAAACATCAAGCAGCAGGTTTTACAGCAGCAGCAGGCTGAGAGAGAAAGTCAACTGGTTATGCAGAGAGAGCAACTGGCACAGCAGAAACAACAGCTTGACCAGATACAGTCTCTGCAACAACAGCTTCAGCAGCATCTTGAAGAGCAAAAGAGACAAAAGACTGCAGCTGCAGTAGCTAGTGCCCAACTTATCTGTGACCAAACTGGCAGAATAATTCAGCCACAAGACCTACCCCCAGATATGCAATACGGGGATATTCAAGTCTCTTCCAGGTCCCTGCCTAACTCTTCATCAGAGATGTGCCTAAGGAATAATGAGGGGCAAGCAGAGAATAGGTCTATGCGGAAACAGAGATCTATGCCTCGTCTACAGGATGGGGTTGACGGAGAGGTAACAATGTTTTCCCTGCCTCGTAGAATTGTAGACAGCAGTGTACAAACAGATGATGAGGATGGAGAGGACAGATATCTTATGTCCAGAAGAAGAAGGACCAGGCGCAGTGTGGATTGCAGTGTTCAGACAGATGATGATGAGGACAAAGCAGAATGGGAGCAACCAGTAAGACGGAGGCGTTCTCGGTTCTCCAGACACTCTGAATCTGGTGTTGACTCTAAAAATGAAACTCCCACTTCAACTGCAGCTGCCAAAGTTGCATCCTCTAGTATTGCCATTCAAACAATTCGGGACTGCTCTTGCCAAACAGAGATAGAGCAGCTAGGGAGGATATCTCCAGCCATACATGTCACTGTGCCAGACCCTAACAAAGTTGAGATTATCCACTATATTTCTGGACCAGAGAGAACTCAGAAGGGGCAAAGCTTAGCTTGCCAGACTGACCCTGAGGCCCAATCTCAAGGTGTTGTAGTACCACAAATTAGTGTTGCCACCACAATTAGCCCATATTCCAGCAGTGTGCAACTTGTGGGGTCAGCAGATCCACTATCACCTCGTCAACAGGGTGTTGCGAAGTTTGAAAGACGGAAACCAGATCCCTTGGACATTGGCTACCAGCAGCATCATCTGCACAACGAGTCGCTGTCCAGTGTGATTCGGCAACCACCCAAATCCCCTCAGGTGTTGTATTCTCCTGTATCTCCTCTGTCTTCACCACACCGCATCATAGAGACATCATTCTCATCTAGTGAGAGGCTGAATAAAGCCCATGTCACTCCGCAGCAGAAGTCATATACAGCTGAGTCACCACAGAGGCACCAGAGTCTACCCCGGCCAATGAAGAATGTCCAGAGATCCATGTCAGACCCCAAGCCCCTCAGTCCCACAACAGATGAGCAAACCAAGGCTAGGATTTCCCTTTACCAGCAACAAGCACTTCATAGTCAGGTACGGCCATAGAAAAATTTGTACGCTATGCTTTAATATATTTTACATAATTCACTAATCTTTGAGCATGCTTAAATTTTCTGTATTGAAATTCAGCAGATTTAGTTTAAATGTTGGTGTGACAGTGACATTTGAAATAATGTGCAGCTTGTTGTTTGATGTAAGTTTTTAGCCAAGTTTTTAAATTTGCCAGACCTATTGAGAAGAACCTGTATTGTAATACAATGTTGTTGTCTTTTTTCTCAGAGATCATTGCCTCGACAAAGAGCAAGTGTTGAATGCTTTTTGAGGGCTCGTTCTACGAACCTCTCTGTTATGTGAGGTTATGCTAGAACACTCACATTAACATTTAACAGTTACAATAGATGAAGCATAATTATTTAATCTTTCAACTACATACTTATCAAAGGATCATTTTTATTTCATAAGCATGTACATTGTGAACAGTCTATAGCTTATAAAACTCATAGAAATGTTTCTATAAATAAGTTGCTATGTTTCTACTCCAAAAAAGTCTAGAAAGTGTTAATACTTTAATTCCAGATAGAAGTCATAACAAAAACGCACAATTAATATTATAGAAACTAAACAAAGGTGTTCATAAAAGGGGTTTTGCAGTGGCTTTAGCGGAGTTAATTATTCATTAGAATAGAGATGGTTTGATAATAGTGAATGGTATAAAGAAAAGTACTATGGAGACTGGTCAGGTTTGCAAAAGATGGTCTTTGCTATTGGACACTGGTGATAAGCATTGAGAAAAAAGGTAAGGTTGTTAGAAGTCTTTTTTTCATTCTACATAAACTGGAGCTAAAATGTTTGACCGGTATTTTAGAGCAAGGAGGGACCCTGCATTATACAAACTGCTAATGGTGTCCATGGGGCCCAGGGTCCCCAGCTTTGTAACACATATGGCACATCTGGGAATCAACCTTGAATCCCAGCTGTAGAGCACATCTCTCCAAAATGCTTTTACAAAATGTGCTCTCAGAGGGTCATTAGAGGTTGTACATTTGGTGATCAGTTTTAAAGTAAATTTTCATTTAAGTCTACATTTTTGTGAAGTTTACAAGTTTACAAGTTATTTATGCACTATGGTTACTTCAAACTTCAAAGCATGTTTTTTGTCTTGTTATCATTACACATACTATAATGTGTAACACTGTGCTGTGCTTTTTGCATGCTCTTGACCCCTCCACTCTCCCTGGCCCCTTTGTCCTTGCAGTTGGCGGCACTCCATCAGAGCTCCCTCCTGAGGAAGGTTAAACGGACCCTACCCAGCCCCCCGCCCGAGGAGACTCAGCTGCCTATGGTCACCCCTGCCCTGCCCCAGATGTATGTGCCCTCTGTGCCCTCCCTGAAGGCAGGTTCCCGGCCAAGCCTGGCAGCCAAGGCCAGCCTCCTGAAGGACCTGACCCATGAGCTGAAGGCAGTTGAGCAGGAATCCACTAAACTACGGAAACAGCAGGCTGAGCTGGAGGAGGAGGAGAAAGAAATTGATGCCAAACTTCGGTACCTGGAGATGGGCATCACACAGCGAAAGGAGACTCTGGTGAAGGAGAGGGAGAGGAGGGAGCTGGCATACCTACGCTGCATGGGTGATGCACGAGACTACATGTCAGATTCCGAGCTGAACAACCTTCGTCTGGCAGCTGCAGCCGCATCCTTCGAGAGTAACGGGCTTCTGACCAGACCAAGCACAGCACCACTCAGCCAATTTACCAGTGAGCTGAACACTGCTGCACAGTTTCCCCCTACATCATCCTTTGTGTCCTACCAATATCCACAAAGCCAGTCAACTGCTCCCGCCCCACAGGCCTCCACATTCCAGAGTACTGGATTCAACCAGCCTCCCTATCCTACAGTCTCCCAGGCCCAGGCTCTCCCCCAGCCCACACCCATACAAACCCACCATCCTACCCCATCTTATCAAGCTCAAGGGACCTTCCCTTCCCAGAGCTTCCCCCAAAGCCAACCACCATACCCAACAGATCATCCAGTGCTACCTCCAACCCAACCAAGCCATCCAGGGTTCCAGCCTCCTCCACAACCACCTGCTGGCCCAACTCCTTATCCAACCCACACCACGCCATACCCGAGCCAGGCTCCCCCCTACCCGGTCAGCCAGGCGAGTACCTACCAGCCACCGGCAGATATATTAACTGTCCACCAAAGGCCACGGCAGACCTCTCTGGCTGACCTTGAACATAAGATGCCCACTAATTATGAGGTTATAAGCAATCCTACTGTTGTAGTAACAACCACTGCTCAAGATTCTACCTATAGCCAATCTGGTTTGGCTCCATCTTATGGACAGTACAGCACAACCATGGCAAGCACATATGGGCCATACTCCACCTCAGTTTCAAGTACTTATGGTGGGTACTCAAGTACCACAGCGACTTCATATGGGCCATATACAACAACTTCATCAAGTAGCTATGGGCCATACACTACTACCATAGCTAATACCTATGGATACACAACAACTACAGCCAGTTCCTATGGACAGTATACTACTACTGTTGCTAACACTTATGGGCAAGCAACACTGTCTGACCATCTACACTCAGTGGACAGCCCCTCTACTTATACTGGTGATGGCCTCTACGGTTCTTCCAACCTTGAGCAGAATGTCCCTAGGAACTATGTAATGATTGATGACATCAGTGAGCTAACCAAAGAGGGCATGGGCACCACCTCAGACCCACACCGCAGTGAGGGCCACGGGCGTTATGGGGGTGACGGACTCCACACACGAGGGGGGAGCTCCTACGGCAGACCAGAGGACGAACGTGACGCAGAGATGTACGACCATCACCATGGCAGGGGTAAGAGCACCGGCAGCTACCAAGCGCGAGGGGCAGATACGCATGGCCGGGTAGTGGGCAGCAGTAGCATGGGTGGGGGATCCTCATATTACTATGATGACTACAAACACTCAACAACCTCAAGGGCAGCCCAGAGGCACTCTTCAAAGAGCCTGGCCCCAGCTGTCATGTCCACCAAGAGAAGCAAGCATCGTAAGCAAGGCTTGGAGCAGAAGATCTCCAAGTTCTCCCCAATAGAGGAGGCTCGTGATGTGGAGGCTGACCTGGCCTCATACACCATGAGCACCTCTACTACAAGTGGTTATGGTACAGGTTCCCGTTCACGGAAACTCCAAGATGAAATCTATGGGCTGCGACAGACTACTTATGACTCACATCGGGGCTACTATGATGATGAACGTCTGTATGGCTATGGCAGGTCCCGCTCAACTGGTTATGGCATGGATAAAATTTCTTCTCGGGAGACGGGCTACCGAAGCAGGTCTTATGAACGGGATTATACAGACCGGTCATACAGAAGCAGCTATGGCCGCAGCGGGCGCCCCACTTTACGCTCTCAGTATTCTGAAGAGGAGAGCCCACTTAGTCCCATGGGGAAGCTAATGGGCAGTAGGCGGGGCTACTACGATCCAACTAACCCATATGGCTCAAGCCACTCTCTACCTGATGTGCAGGACCATATTCGAGACCTGCCACGGACCCATGTCTACAAACCTGATGATATGTACATTATAGACGATATGTATTGCGCTGTGTCTGACAGTGAAGGTAATTGGGTGCTGAATGCCAAAGTCACTGTCTACTTTAAACATCCCCCACCCACCCAGAGAAAGAGAAAAAATAGCAGATGTAAAGGAGTGAGAGCCCAGTGCATGCCTATGTTGTGCCTTCAGGCGACCAGCTTTCGTCAGATCAGACTGTCAATTCTTTATCGAGTGCCAAAATTGCATGAGCTGTTTTGTGATCCTTTACTGTCCTTGCATTTTTCCTTTTCTTTTGCATGGTTTTCTAAGGTGCATCTCCTGCATGTATTTTCAGAAATGTCTGAATTGTGAATGTTTGTGTGCAGTTTTATATGTTGTGTATTTTGCATTGCTATGCTGTGTATGGGTATTAAGCTCTAGTTCTTTTTTTTCTTTTCTTTTCTTTTCCCCTTTTTCTTTTGCATGATTTCAGTCTGCATGCCTCTTTCACCAACGGACGTGGAGATTGATTGTGATCTGCTTTTGGTTTCCAAAGCCTACCATCTGGGCCAGGAGGAGACTGACTGGTTTGAGAAGCCGCGAGATGCTCGTGGTTCCCGTCACTATGGCAGCAGTCATTCTTCCTCTGGGAGGCGTGGCCATGTCAAACACACATACCATGACTACGATGAACCACCGGAGGAAGACCTTTGGCCACAAGATGACTATGGTCACTCTCGGCACACATCCAGTCGAGAGCACCGTCACCATGGTAGTGGAAGTTCTGGCAGGCATTCTTCCTCCCGCCACTCCGATGAGCCACGCTCTTCTCGATCATCACGCTCCTCGAAGGATCCGTCCATGCGTCACGACTCCCGTTCCATGTCCTCATCTTCAGGGAAGAGGGGTGATTCTCGCTCTCAGGGCTACCACTCCTCTGATTTCTCCCGTGACCCTTCAGGTCACCACCATGGCTCACGCTCTGGGAAACAGTCCTCACACCACCAAAGTTCTTCCAGCAGGAAGCAGCAGGATCTCCAGGGTCACCCATCCACCTCTAGACAGCCAGGTTCAACTGGTTCAGGGCAGAGGGGTGCAGGTGGACCCTCAAGCTCAAGCCGTCAGCCCGGGTCCCAGCAGCCACCTGATGCACAGCAGGGCCAGCGAACACAGCTACAACAGCAGGCACAAACATCTGCAGCCAGGCCAGGACAGCAGACACCTGCAGGGGGTCCTGTGCAGCCACAGCCTGCACAAGGCCAGCAACTCCAGGCCAAACCTGGCCAGACTGGGCCAGCTGCACGGCAACCTGTCGCGGGAGCACAACCTGCACCTGCTACAGTGAGTAGTTCTGTTTTTATACAGGCTAACACAGTATATTTACCTTTTTTTGATGATAATTATTATATTTCAGTGTTACAAGTGCTAACACAAGGCCCTTTAGGCATTTGAGTATAGATGAAATGGTCTAATTCTATTGGCAGATCATTTTGCTTGTTTCAAAATATAAAGTAGATTATCTGAGAAGAATATAGAATAAAACAATTTCTCTAAATAAAATTACTTAAAAAATGTTAGAAAGTTAAATACCTTATAATATTCTTACAACTGTCTCATTATTGTGAGGTTTTACCAGGCCCTAAACTGTGGTTTCATTTTCTTCCCCAATCACACTGCTTAGCAACCGTCCCACTATCCACCATTACCTTTGTCAGGCTTTCAGGCTTTTAAGAGTGAGCTTGTTTCTTTAAATATACTTTGGATTCAAAGCTCCAAATATTTAAATTAACTGAAGATGGGCCTGTGGGATCTGTAAAAGTGAGACCTGATGCTTCAACAGAGTAGAGGACGCCCATTTCCAAAGCTAAATATAAAATGTCAAATAAAAAAAATTCTAGAAAAAAGTGCATCATCTTTGTCAGAAGTGATTTGCAAATTGTCAACTTTGCCAATAAAGTCATCAGATATAAGTGTAAAAATATTTTCCACACCTGCCATGGCAGTGTGCTTTAGCATATGATACTTGACAGTTTGCTGCTTTTTTCCGTCTTTATTATGTATGTTTCAGCTGTCTGATTTTACTTTATCAATGTACATGTTTTGCTTTATAGGGAAATGTTGCATTGGTTGTTGAAATTATGTTAGGTGTTCTCATTAATATGTGCATAATGTTGCTATTACCTTGTCTTGACTGAGGAAAAAAGTATGCGTTTGTTGCGGTGACGTGTGCAGCATCGCAGTTTGTATGCCACCATCGTGATGCTGCATAGCCTTGATGCATCCTGCCATCTTAAAAAATGCCCCGACCACCCAAGAAAGGTAGCCAAGTAGGGGTCCACCAAACATTTGTGCCCAGGGGCTGATAACTTGATGATCCAGACCAGGGTTTTATCCTGTAAATGACACTACATAGTTTTGAGTTACTTTACAGCATTAAGTGCGCTTGGCAGTTATGTGTTCCCTTTGAAAAAAAAATGTTATCTGAAGGCTCTTTCCATTGGTTTTCTGCTTGTTTTCCATTTGTTTTCCATTTGTTTAATGTTTTACTTACAAATCTCATGCAATTAGGTCTGTGTCTAATTGGTGCATTGAGGCAGACTAACAATGTAATACAACCAAAAACAGCTCTGGATTCGTTTACAGCCAGTATGTGTGGGTGTTTGGGTTTAGAATGACTGCACCAAGCCGGGAAGACAGTTTTGATCTCTTTTCATCCATTTTCCCTTTATTAGATGTCTCTTCTAACACCTACTATTCAATCAGCTTCTGCTTTGCCATCTTCTGGTCCTCTGGCATCCATCCATCCGTGCCTTTTATTAAACCAATATCCACTGTTACCATTCCACAAGTATCCATGCATACTTTCTCTCTTACCGCTTTCTCACCTGCCCCCCCCCCTTATAGATTTGATAAAGCCTAGCTCATCATGCAGTGCTGATTTAATTTTTTGCTGAGATCCTGTTAGTAGGCTCTTATCTTCTTCTCTGATTAACTGGATGTATGCTGCTAGAAAAGAGCTATTGCAGACTGCCTTTCTCCCAGTCCATTAATTTCTCAATGTTTGATTAGTGTATACTTACCAAAAAAGGATGTTAAGCACTACTCTCTATTGGTTATGTACAGTAGGACACGCTCATATAACGTCTCATATGCCCTATATATCTGTCGGCAATAGACTGTACATGACAGCAACATCACAGAAGTAGTGCAGTTTCTAAAACAGTAATGATTTAGAATTATTCAAGATAATGATTTGAGTGGAACTAAATCAGAGTATATGTTTATGAAATCATTGTCCATTTAGCATGTTCTTTAATGTAGTTTATGTGTTGCCTAGATGCATTGTTAGAATGGACCACTGAGTGATTAAACACAATAATTAAAATACAACTCAGAAATGGAAAGTGGTGTGATACATTTTGTTTGTTCCCGGGGCAATAAGCCACCAGCTAAATTATATAATTCTGTGCTGCCTTTTTCTTATCACCAAATGGAAATCAGAATGTGGGCGTACAGGCTAATCGATTCCAACAGAGAAACCCTCCTGACCAGTGGATTTAGCTTAATGTATTCACCCCATGCACCAAGGAGAAGAATCAACAACTCAAAATGGCATATGGAACAGAGGGGAGGTCTTTTTCCCATACTGCCTAATAGCTCTGGCTAAATTAGAGTATATCTCCTCTCTTATTAACAATGAAAAATCTGCTGTTTTATCATTTGTAATTATCGCAAAAAGATGAAAATTGTTTTTGTGCTAAGGGAGATTTTGCTTACCCTTTAAGACAGCTTTTACTTTTTTTCATAAGATGTCTTTACAAGACATTTTGTGTCAGTTCCCTTGTACCCTCTGAATGCTGCATATGTAGACAATAACATTGCTTAGAGAATTTTAGGAACAAAGGTTAGTTTGTTAGCCTGGAAACATTATAATTGAAATGAATGCTGTGAACTATGTTTGGTTTTATCTATTTGGTATGTATTAAAGGAGTTGTTTGGTAGAAAATCTTTTGTTGTTGTTGCTGTTGTTGTTGTTGATTTTATTTATGGATTTTGAAAAAAATATAACAAGGAAGGAAAATTCATTGTACACAATTTCTTATAGTCTGTCAGCAAAGACATGTTTGGTGTCTGAAGCTCTCTGGAGCTACATGATCCAATATACTTGACATGTAATGGAGGCTCATACCATAAACCAGTAATAGAATAATGCAAGCTTTTATCTTAAACCAATAATGGCAGCTTATACCCCACCAGTAATAGAAACATATACCACAAACTAGTAATGGAAGCTTGTTCCACACAGGAAATGGAAGTTTCTACCCTACCAATAATGGAAGCTTATACCTTAAACTAGTAATGGAAGCTTTTACCCCACCAGTAATGGAAGATTATACCATAAACCAGTAATGAAAGCTTATAACCCACCAGTAATGAAAGATTATACCATAAACCGGTAAAGGAAGCTTATACCTTACCAGTAACAGAAGCTTATACCCTGCCAGTAGTGGAAGCTCAAACCGTGAACTAGTAATGGAAGCTTACACCCCACCACTAGTGGAAGCTTATACTATAAACCAGTGAAGCTTCCAGGCAATCACCACATACTTGACTGAATCTTAAAGTTGTTAACTTAACTTGAACAGACTTGTTTATATAGTTTTTGACACTGTGTGACATACTGCTACTTATAGAAATGGTCAAAAGTATGTCAAAGAAATAAAAACAGTAATTTGTCCATACCTTGGTCTGTTTTTTGCAAAATGTGCTTTGTTCATTGAGCTGAACAGCTGCTTTAAAGGCAGTATTTTTGCTCAAAATGTCATGTGTCTGGTCTCTTATAGGCTAAGCCTGAGCCTGCTCCGGTCACTGCTATTGGAGCAAAAGCAGCCACAACCCAACCTGCCAAAGCAGCTCAGCCTCCGCTCACGGGGATAGGTGAGTGTACACATACATACATATTGGGGCTGTCAAAATAAAATTGGAAATTTGAATATTCATCAAGTTGAGAGAAAATATGCACATTCGTAAATTATCAAACAACTGTATAAGTGCTGGCCCTATTATCAGGAGACTGCAGGTTTGATCCCCAGTGATGCCACAGCCATCCATGGCCAGAAGTCCAAGACAGTATAATTGCTCTCACTGTGTTTGGGAGGGTAGAATGGTCCTCCATCTCCCCCATCACTCAGCATGATGCTAGCCAACGTGGGTGTCAGCAGTTGGTAATGTCTTCTTAACAGATTAAACTGTCCAATAATGTTGTATTAACTGCAGTTTGAAAAGATCTGGTGGCTGGCTTCACATGTCTCGGAGGAAGCATGTGCTAGCCTTCACATCACTGTTTTGATTTTTGACTTTTCTGGCCATAAATTTCTGCTAGTGTCCTTAAGGGATTCTAGTAGTATGTAGCACCAGGCTAATGGCAGTGCACATGAAAACATTTTGGTCTGTTTAGACAAGACATGAAGATGTAAAGCTTGTAAAAGACATTCCATGTTTTTTTTTAACCTTGTAACATACAACCCCATTTCCAAAAAAGTTGAGACGCTGTGCAAAATGAATTGAAAATAGTACAAAGACAACATATCTGAGACTGAGAATTTTTTTTGTTTTTTGAAAAATATTGAATTTGATGCCAACAACACGTTCCAAAAAAGTTGGGACGGGGGCATGTTTACCACTGTGTTTCATCACCTCTTCTTTTAACAGTACGCTGTAAGCATTTGGGAACTGAGGAGATGAATTGCAGTAATTTTGAAAGTGAAATGTTTTCCCTTTTTTACTTGATATAGGAACTAACTGTGTGCTAATAACAAGCTGTGTGGTCTTCAGCCCAGAGGACACAGCGTCCATGATTTCCAAAAAGAATTTCAAATTTTGATTTGTTGGACCACAGGACGCTTTTCCACTTCATCTCAGTCCATTTTAAATGAGCTCGGGCACAGAAAAGGTGGCAGCGTTTTTGGTTCCTGTTTATATGTGGTTTCTTCTTTGCATAGTAGAGTTTTAACTTGCATTTGTGGATGAAGTGACAAACTGTTTTCACAGGCAGTGGTTTTCGGAAGTGTTTTTGAGCCCATGCAGTGATTTTCACTACAGAATTTTGTCTGTTTTTAATGCAGTGCCTCCTGAGGACCCGAAGATCACAGCGAGCCAGTATTGGTTTTCGGTCTTGTCCCTTGCATACAGAGATTTCTCCGGATTCTCTGAATTTTTTAATTATATTATGTATCATAAATGATGAAATCCCCAAGCCCTTCGCAATGTTATGTTGAGAAACATCATTCTTGAATTGTTGCACTACTATTTTGTACAGTGTCCCAACATTTTTGGAAATGGGGTTGTACATACTAATGTATATTTTAACTTGCATGTTGCAGTTTTACAGTGACTCTGTTAGTAAAGAGCTGTGGCATAAAGCTACCGCTGTTGTCCGTTTCTAACAACTGACTGACCAGGTTAGACTACTGCTTGTATTCACAGTCAGTAACTTATTAGCACTTCCACAAGGCCTAGAGTGATATTTTTTCTTACAAAATTGGTCCCACCCATTGTAAATCAAAATGTGATTGCTTGATTCCACTGTCAGTTCCTGTTTATGTAAGTGGTTAATCTGATATGTTAAGCCCTTGGTTTGGCTTCTGAAGACCTAACCAACAGAAAAGTTTGCTTGGATGCGTCTCTCTAGATAGTGCAGATATGATCCATGATTAGATCATGTTCCATTGAGTGTTCCCAGAAACCAAAACTTAACAATTAAAAAAGAGTATTACTACAATACTCACATAATTCTATTAAATGAAAATGAACAAAACATTAGAGATATATTTATTTGTTCCACAGGCCCAGAAGGCCCTGACAGTTTGCCACTGATAAACATAATAACCCATGTGTTTCTGGCTTTTTTTCCCACTAACACCTCTGCATAATCATTGGATGTCCATGCGATGGAGTGTACTTCACACACACACGCACACACACACACACACAGTGGAAGTAAATGTCTCACACTGAGGATTAAACACTGCCTGTTCTATGCATTCTCCAGTTTTAATCCACAGATTTACCAGGAGGGCTGGGAAACCTTATGCAATGTGATCCACAAGCAGAGTGTGATGTTAAAACACACATTGAAAAAAGTAGTACTGTAAAAATAATTGATCCAAAAACGCACATTATTTTCACGTGAATAAAATATATTACATCAACACTGTTATGGTCAAAAGTAATACTAAAAAATAGAATTGTCTTCATGTAACATTTTTTTTTTGACATGCAAATGATTCAAGTACTCAATTAAAGAAATCAAATGGTTTAAGTTAAAGTCAAGGCATCCTTTTTTCTGTGCTGAGGCAGAGGTTTTTATTTGAACTCCTTTCACAACAGTGTGCATTGATGTGTTCAAAAAAAGCTGGGCAGGATCTGCCCCTAGTGTGCTGTTTGTCTATAAACTTTCCTCACCGGTTCTCAGGTATGATGCCACTAGGTTTAAAGGGTAAACAGAAATAACGTATTCTGTCTGTTATCATTTCTCTCTCTCCCTCTGTGCAGGATCTAAGGCAGCTCCGAGGCCAGGCGGAATTGGCAGTGCTGCAGCAGGTCAGCCCGGTATGGAAGGAGAAAGCATGCTGTCTAAGATCCTGCCTGGAGGAGCCGCAGAGCAGGCGGGCAAACTGGGAGAAGGTGAGAAGAGAGAAAATTGTCTGTGTGCCAGGGCTGCATGATATGCACAAAACACTAGTATTATGATTATGCTCCATCATAATGTGATCCATATGTGTTTAAAACATAAATTTCATCAAGTTTCAAATTTTTTGATTCCTTAATATCTAAACAACGTCAATCAGAGTGATTGGGTGTGAAATGCTCCATTGTAGAGACAATTAATGAATCAGAATTGTTCACAGTGGTGGTCACAGGAACCCAGTCTTAACCAGACTAAACAACGCATCACAGGAAGCTGTTAATCACAGTGGTTGCAAATGCATTGCCTCATGTATGACACTGATTGTATTATGATTAAAGCCTTTTTTTCAATACATTCACCGCAGTTGAATACACAGAGCAAAACAGTCCCCAGAGACTTCTTTTTTTAGTTTTACTATTATAAACACTGCACATTAAAACTCAGATGGACATTTTCAAATGGTAAATAAAATGGTTATATTTATTGACATCGTGGCCACTGGTTCGCCACCACAGAAAAGAAATCAGTCAGTAAGTTTCTCTACAATGTACCATTTCACATCAAACCACTCTGAATGACTGTTTATGTCTCAATGATTGCATTATGCAGAAACTTTGAAAACTCAGTAGAATTCCACTTTAAAATTGGCCTGCATTATTTTGACTTTTCACATCTGGTACAATGATTGGTTAAGAAGTCACAGCCCACAGTAAAAATAAGAGCCATTATTTAGAGGGCTTATTTGCGTATTACAGATATTTGCAAAATCAGTGCTGGAAAGGCCAAAATCACAAGAATGATTAACAATTGATGTGTGCTTTTGTTTATGTCATTCTGAATTCTGAATTGTTTGAGGCTCTAAACTAGTCTTTCAGTCTCTTTGTGCCTCTGCTAACTACATTCTCTTTTCCTCTGCTCTGTTTTCAACTCTTATTTGCTTCTTTCTTAACTCTACTTTTATTTTTCTTCTCTATGCCACTTTTTCTTTTTTTTATTTCTTCTCCTTTCAATAGCAATCTCTGGATTTGGCAAGAAGTTCACCTCCTTGTGGTGAAATGATACAACTAAAGGTAAGAGAGAGAGAGAGAGAGAGAGAGAGAGAGAGAGAGGGCAATGATGGAGTACCTGAATTGTCTGTTTATCATTGATCCTGTCTGAAACACATTTTTGCTACACTTTCTCCACAGTTATATTAATATGTGACTTCAGAAAACATGCTTTGGATTCAGTAAGATATGTGCGGGGGTGTATATCTGTGGTTTTATAATCCTCTCTCCTCTCGCACAAAGCTCACACATGAAGCTGGTTGTGGAGTGGTTGAGGACAGTATTAACCCTTCAATGCTGAGGCATTTTTTGCCTTTTTATTTGTCACGTTTATGTTGTTACTTTTGTGAAGGATACAGTTGATATTTTTGTCTTTAGTATTATATATATTGTCTGTATGGTAAGAAGGAACAAACTGTAACTGTGTTAAGTAATTAACAAGGTTAATACCTTGTTTGTTAATTCTCTTCTTGATGCTTCTTTTCTCCCTTTGCTTTTCCTTCATTGGAGGACTATTAAAGGATTATCTTATCTTAAAAAAGTGCCTATTTTGGCCTTTTAATCTACTCTTCTCATTTAATTATGTGGTTTCTAAATGTTGTCATTGCATTTATTGTGACACGTAAAGAACATAATCTAACAGAGCTGAACAGTCATAGATTTTTGTTTTGTTTGCATATGTACACTGATTTGTACTCTGATTAAAAAATCAATATTAAGCTGTAGACCATCCAAATTCCATTCTGAGTGTGTGTGTTCACACTCATTGAGAAACTATCGCAGTGCATCCAACAGTAAAAACAGCACTGTGCTTTTTTTATATAGGGTTAGAAAACACTGTGGCACACAGAAAGCTGCAATTCCATATGCTGTTCCAAACTGTAACTCATCACTTTCTTGAAAACGTCATCTCATTACCTTTTACTTTACTTCTAAGTTACTCTCTAAAACCCATACAAATATTACAAGGCAGTTGCAAAGTTAAAACAAAAATTTAACAGCCCTGCCAGTACCTTATTTAGAAAGAAATAAAGTCACTATCGTTGCTTGCCTTTGCTCTGAACAAGACACAGCCAGTTATGTTGACTAAAATAACAATGATACAGTTTGGAAACCCAAAAACTAGCCAGTATAACCAGTTCCAAAACAGCTGCCTTGAAATAAAATCTTTATGAATGAAATGTAGATCAAACAGGGCTGATACCGAGTAGAATTTGTAGTTTCTCTTTAGGCGAAGTAGGGGCTCTCTCTTCTTTGGCACAGGGATCTATATCCATAAGTTTCATAATAACGTGATTAGATGCTTTGACTGACTATGCTCACACTGCACTGCTCACATTCACATTAATTAACATAAGTAATGAATTTCTATTTTAATTAAGTCAAGTGATTGTACTGTTATAACAATAATTTAAACTCCAATGTAGTATACTTCTTGATCACATGAAAAGGGCATTTCTGTAATGCATTAGTTTGTACCACATTACCCCCAACATTGGTTAAAGGGGCCAAAGCCAAAGAACTAATGTTTCAACAATATGTCAATATGATCTTGAGAGTCTCTCATTGCCCCCCCCCGCCAGATCTGAAAATTGAAACTACATTTCACATTTCTGTGCACTTTGAGCAACATTTGAGCAATGACCCTTGAGCAAGGGTAAATGCTAAAACCACTATCATTAAAACATCCCATTTGAAAGGCAGCAGCTAAATCCCACGAGTCGATAAAAAAAACTTCAGGGGCCTGAAAACATAACATTTTTTAACTTATTTGATTTATTTAGATATTTGTACATATTCAAAGGTTATTGGTTGAGTTTATGTTTAGATCTGTATTTGGGCAACCTCAAGTCTTGAGGTCTAGGGGGGCTTCTGACTGCCAAGGCACTGGCCTTGATGGCTCAGTCAGTAATCTCTCCCCGAAGTCCTGCCTTGTAAAATGCATTTGCATGGATGACTAGAGCAATTTTGTGTGGGAGGTTACTTTGTGGACTTTTGTGTTTTCTTTCTAACCTCAAAATTTGTGTGTATGTGTTTCTCATTGTGTGTTTCCGAATTCAGGGTGTCTACAAAAATGATGGAAGATGTTATAAGGCTTTGTACTGGAAAAACCTATGAAGTTTCCCTTCTACGTTTTAATTTAAAAGAGAGAGTGTGAAAGAAGGAGAGAGAGAGGGAGAGAAGTAATCTGGGTGCACTGGTAAGAACTGGCTTGAAATAGATGGATGCACTGTGATTTGATTGTTCAATTCCCTTGTACAAAAAGGCCATACATTATAGAGTGATGAGATTCGTTTGAAAATAATGTTGCGAGCTGTGCATGATCCATTAAGCTAATTGCATCTTCTGCAATTTCTTTTGCAATATGAATTGTAATACCACATTCTATCTCACACGATCGTTCTGAGTCATTCTGTACATACATCTTGGAAATGACCATGAAACTGAATTTTTATTTCTCATCTCCTTTCAGCCAACCAGGACTGGAATCACAGGAGGCTATTCACTCTAGGCCTGGGCACATGATAACAGAGGGACTACGCTGCTTTCCTCTGGCAGGCCAGACAGTAAGAAACAATCACAGACTCATCATTAGGATTACAATATTTGTAAGTGCATAAGCATATGAGACCATGTTCAAATTAAATGTAAATTTAACTAAGAGTAATACAAAATAATACTTAATAATACTTAAAAACTCTTGCTGCATTTGTAGCACATATTTGTAGGACAGATACATGCTTGCTATCTGGGAAGTATTGAGAGTTCAAACAAACTTTGTCTTTTAAAAAGATGTTCAGTCCCATTACTACTTATTTTCGCTAACAAACTTTTGCTGCAAAGTTTTGACAAAGTTTTTGAGTGGGGGTCTTGAAGAAGACGTTTACCTCACACATGTATTGCCTATTGTCTGGAAGTGACACATCCTCTGACACAAAGCCATGCTCACTGGAAAATCCTTTAACACGATGGAAAACACTGTGTAAATGATACATTTTGCACAATAAAGTGTATTACATACTTTTATATTACAAACTTGTTGTTTGAGGAAGCTGTATCAAGGGGCTACCAGTGTATGCTAAAGCGCTAACCAGCCTATTTAGGTTACTTAGTAATATACTAAACGGTTAGCCAAATATGCTAATGTGAAGAAAAATGACTTAGAGTCTTGTATGAACTTGCGTATTCAAACTGCCACGAAGCTGCAACTTCTTTCAGTTTTGCAGCCACTAGCTCTAACTTAGCTAGCGGTGTTCACTAAAATGCTAACTAGGCTTGCGAACTATATTGATGTGGAGAAAAATGACTTTCTGTTACGGTACATGCTGGTTCCAGTCATTAGCAGAGGAAAATTTGATTCTTCTATGGATAAAAACCTTGACATAACTGAGTTCAGTCTGACTAACCATGAGAAGCTTGGTTATTTTATTCCCTTTTGTTGTGACCAAACATAATAAACTATGTCTATCTTTAAACCTCTGTCAATAAATTTTATGTCCCTACAATTGCCATTTCCCACTAAAAGCATCTGAAAAACTCGCTGGCAGCAAGTGGTGCCATTTCGCTTTCTTACACCTATGCTTTTATTAGCCTGCTTCCACAAGCCACCCCATAAAAATGATGTCAAAACTCAGAGGAAAGAACATAATTGCAAAATGCACAAATAGAGAAAATGATGGCAACGACTGGCGAAATGCTAGCACAAATGATAGTGAATGGGCAGAAGAGCTTTTTTAAAAATAATTTTGATTTAATTTTTGCTATGATTTGCATTACAGTGGGTTCATACAAAGTCCTTACAGAAAGGTTTGTCCACTTGACGGCCATCTTGGCGACACCCCCGGGCAGTTATTTCCAGTCATACAAGACCAAGCTCCTATCGTTTTGAACATGTAGAGACCTATAGAACTGAAACTAAAAGCTTCATTACTGTCTGAAAAACATATCTGAAATCACTGATAAAATCTGACAAAAACAGCATAAATAGTTTGCAGCATTCTGGCTGTTGCGCATACACATCTCCACAACGAGTGGGAACTTTCCCCCGCTAGTGGCTTAAACATCAAGCTGATTGGCTCTTGTTTTGAAGAAAGTTTCCTTGACTTTCCTCATAAACAGACACCATGCGTTACAAGCTGTCCCACTCTTTCATACAGCGACTGGTCTCCTCCTTTATAACATCTCTGTTTCATATAGAGCTTTATTAATGCTGGATTAGTTTTAGCTGATAAGGTGCTGTAATTTGAGTGATTACTGACGAGATCTGTGATTTTAATACAGAATGAATGTGCCATGTCTGTAGTCTGCTAAGTAATAATTCTGCAATGATTTACCTTCTATAATTCACTCTGAGCTCTGTCAGTAATAGCACTCCTGTTCAAATCGAGATGTAAAATGTTATGTTTTGGATTTATTTATTTATTTTTTGGTGCCATATTTAACATTCATCCACACAAACACGTTGTTATTGTTCAGAGGTAAATGTCCAAGCAATGATGTTTGGGTACTTTGGGGAAATTACAGAGATCCTTTGTACTGTGCAAATCGACCAGTCAAATCACATCCAAATTACGTTACCGGACCTCCTCTGATAAAACTAATCCAGTTCAAAAAGAGCTTAACTTGCACCCCTGCAAATGTCTTGTATTGTAAACTCTAATCTAACACTCTATCTTTGATCTTAGCCTACCACCTCTCTGTGAGCTGTCTGTCTGTGTCTGCTGTCACAAAGATTGCTGATAGTGATACAACAGGGCAAACTTTGTAGCTTTCAGTCCAGTGCAGCCTTAGACTAGTCTGGACAAAACCATTTATTTTCTGAAAAGTAAGACTTTTAGTTTCTATTTAATTTTGGTTTATGCTGTGGCTTTAAGTATTATTGGACTGTGCCATTTCCTTCTGATGAGTTTTGTCTATGAGGCTAAATCAGCACAACAGTAGACTATGCTCAGTTTTCAAGCCTTTCTCAAAGATATTGGCATCTCTTGAGTATTTAAAGCAGCTTTCCAACCTAAAACTTGAGTTTAATATATTATTTGTCATGTTATGTAGTATTATGTACCACAGCATTATATCCCTCAGCCTCATAGACAGTATTAGCAATTGAAAAATCACATTCATGTTTTCATTAATCTGGGTTCTCTCATTACAGTACTCAGCATACATTACCCAAATATATCATACAACCTTCAGTAATCAATTGTAGTGTCCACCAATCCTGACTGCTAACCTAGCCACTGAGCTGTAAGCTAATAAATTCAACCAAATTAGCATTAGTTGTTGAACCAAATTGTGCAGAAAAATAGAGATTTTTATTCTTTCACAAAGCCAAACTGAGGCAAAGTATCTAGACAGCAAGGTAGCTCCCTAGCTTACTTTAGCTTTAACTTGTCATTCTCCTCATCTGATGAGACATTTCTGTCCGTTGAGTCATTTATTCTATCCACTGTAGCGATGATATGAAGGCGGCTGCCACAGTTATAGGGCTGCAATGAGATGTTCGGCTTTCTAGCAGTGATGCTAGCTATGTGCCTTCCTAAAAATCTAGTTGTAACTTTGCAAAAGTACCTTTTTTACGTGCAAGCTACATCATTAGAAAGGGCTTTTCCTAGTCTTTAAACTGAAACATTTCACTCTAGAGAATACTGTGGCACTAGCGTAGGGTGCAAGTAAGCATGTTTACAACAGATGTGATGGTTAAATTTTTAATTTTCCATAGTGTCCCTTTACAGTTTGACATAGAAAGAATCCACTTCTACAAACCCAATTCCAAAAAAGTTGGGACAGTATGTGAAATACTAATAAAAACAGAAAGCAGTGATTAGTAAATTCTGTTCAACCTGTGTTAAATTTAAAATGGTACAAAAACACAACATTTTATGTTTTACTTTATGAACTTCACTGTTTTTTGGAGTGAAGTATGCTCATTCAAAATTTGATGCCTGCAAGAACCTTTAATAAGACACACGATTTCAATGGGAGACACATCTGGACTGCAGGAAGGCCAGTCTAGCACCCACGCTCTGATTATGGAGCCATGCTGTTGTAACAGGCGCAGAATGTGGCTTAGTGTTGTCATGTTGAAATAAACATAGGTGTTCCTGAAAAAAACGGCATCTAGAAAGCAGCATATGTTGCTCCAAAATGTGTTCAGTGCCAGTGGTGCTTTCACGGAAGTGCAGGTTAATAACTAATGGCCCAAACCATGACAGAACCTCACTTTTGCACTGTATGCTAGTGACAGTGTGGATGGTCCTTTTCTTCTTTGGCCCAGAGAACATGGCGTCCATTATTTATATAAATAATCTGAAAGGTGGACTCATTAGACCACAGTACCAGTTTTCACTATGCATCACAGGTGACCTTAAGCCCAGAGAAGTCAGCAGTGTTTCTGGACGTTGTTGAAATTTGACTTCTGCTGTACACAGTACAGTCTTAACTTGTGTTTAAGGTGTTTAAGGTTTTCAAAGTATCCCCAAACCCATGTGATGATTTCCATCACAAAAACACACAGTTTTTTATTGTAGTGCAGTCTGAGGGGTTGAAAATCATGGACATTCTTTTGTGGTTTTCAGCCTTTTTTCCTTTACACACAAAGATTTCTCTGGATTCCTTCAATCTTTTGATGTTATGCAATGTAGAGGGTGAAATACCTAAAATCTTTGCAAAGCCTAGCTAAGGAAAGTTATTTTTTCAACAATGGATTTTTTGCAGATGTCTTTTTGGCAATGTGGTGAGCCTTGACCCATCCTTGTTGATAAAAGACTAGGCCTTTCCTGGATGCTCCTTTTATAAGCATAAGCATGATTGCATCACCTGTTTAAGATGCTTTTTGAACATTTCACAATGTTCCTAAGTTGCCCTGTCCAAACCTTTTTGGATTGTGTTGTAGGCATCAATTTCAGAATGAGTGCATATTTACAAAAAGCAATGAAATCACATATCTTGTCTTTGTTCTGTTTTTATTCGAATGCAGGCCAAAGTAGATTTATGAATCTCTGCTTTCTTTCTTTCTTATTTGCATTTTACCTACTCAGACAGCAGACTGCCATTAGGAATAGATGGATTATAATGCACCAATGTTTTTTAATAAAAAAAAGGCACTCTGCTACAAAGAAAAGAAATAATGTAAAAGACTGTGGCATTAGAGCACTGTGTGAATTAGATGATACGTTCACATTAGTAAAATCAATAAGTTCATGAACGCATTCTTCACTCTCTTACACACATCAACAGCATTAGAAGGTTAATGGCTGGCTTTCAGAGGGCTTCCTCCCTTTTATTCTCTCCCTCTGAGTCTCACACACACACTCACTCATCCTCATGACAGTCAATAATGCATTGGGCAGAATCAATGGAGCACTAATATCATGAATTCTCCACACTCCAAAAGCCAGTGGCCTCTTAGCACTTGCAGCTGCTGCATCAGCACAGAAACTGTATCCGTGGAGACGCAGTGGTCATGGAGCTTCTGTGGGTACTGTATTCCATGTGCCCCATGGGACCCTTACCTCACTTTTCATATTCCACTTACAGCCTGCTGTCTCAATTTATACTGTAGATACTACATAAAAAGCACCAATTTGTCCACCTAAAGTCTCACTGCTCTGTTGTACAAAAAGATATTTTAGTGTTTTAAAGTTTGGGTGCGCCAATCAAATTATGTGTTTTATAGATTTTCTCAATGAAAATAAGTTCATCCTCTACAAAGAACACACTTTGACACATTTTAGTACACAATTACTGTTTATTTGCTATACAAAATTAAACAAAGTGTGGCCTGTGCAGAAGTTACATTTTATAATGTTTTTTTTCCCAATATGTTAAATACAGCAAATAAATAGAAATTGTGCAGTAAAATTAGCAGAAAAATGCTGCATTCAAGTTTGTTCTCTGTAAAGGAAGTGTTCATTTATTTTCACTAAGAAAATGAACAAAACATATTATTTCAAATTTCAGAGGGTGTTCAAACTTCTGCATATGACTGTATGCTGTTGTGTTTTTTTAGAGGACATTAAGGGATACTGTACTGTATATTTCTCTCTCTTCACTCTGATGGATATTCATTCATTCCATCAATTAAGCTGTATTATATTATAGTTTTATGTAATATTTCAAGACTTTGCAATGGCTTCAATTTATTAAGTGTGGATAATATACAGTATTTATCTGTTTACAATATTTTTATCAAGATATGTGCCTTTGGTCTCTTGTGAAATATGGTGGATTCTGAATATTAATTTTATTACAGTCATATAGTTTTATACGGTCAATTAACACATCCTCTACAGAAATGTTTTGATGCACAATTTGCACATTCTAATGCACAATAACAGTTTGTTTGCTGAATTTAACATATTGGGTTAAAATGCTTACATTTTGTTTTCCAATATGTTGAACTATACTGCCTGTATAACTTAGTCCTTGATGCTATACAGCTTTCTAAGTCATTCTAGAATCTTCTTCATCTCCATTTATCATTCTGGACACAACATTTATTCACATCTTTATTTAAAGCTTCTTTGTGTCTCACTAATAATTTGAAAGCTGCACAGGACCAGCACATTAGCATAATTGAATCACTTTATACATTCATCTGTCACCAAACGGGTCCTAAATGGTGGCAAGCATTAATTCCAAACTTTTGAACAGCATTTGGTTCTAGAAGGTTTTCAAGATTGACTTTTTGACCCACAACAATATTTATGTGCTGCCTGGTTAATGCCTTGAAGTGGCACAGGAATATTATAAATGCTGGCTAGATATTGTTGCATACCATCATCAGTGTACAGATGTCCAGTACTAATATTAATGACTACAGCCAGAATAACCTTGTTTTTGGTTGTAGTGCCTATCTACACATGCTCAAATTATTAAACTGTCTAGCAAAACTCTCTTACATACACACACACACATGCACACACACACACACACACACACACACACACACACACACACACACACACACACATTTTCTATTTGAAATTTTCTGGAAGTTATTAATTAAAACACGCACATAACAGATCTAATGGCAGTGTTATTACCTAAGTGACCTCATTCTAATGAGTAATTAGGCACTATGCATGTAGTTTGGTAGGTAGGTGTCTTGCTCTTAAGCATATGTTGTAAAATGACACAGCAGGGTTAAGGCAGCAGTTTGGTTGGAGTTTTCTTAAGTTGTGTATGTGGAGCTTGACCAGATGCCCAAACAGGGAAATGAGGACAGGAGCCCTATTGAGAATAACACAGAGGCTCTTCTGATGCAATAGTGTTCTTAGAGCCGCTCTGCCCAGCCTTCTGTTGTCCAGACACACACGCAGACAGTCACATACAAACAAAGAGTTAGAGTAGGCCAATATTTACAGTCTGGCCAAGCTTAAAAATTATTCATAGCCCATAATATCTAGTGAATGATTAGGACCGCGGCATGAATGTGAAAGATCCGATGGCTTTTAGTGTATTCAGGTCAGGCTGCTCACCCTGAAATATTTATCACCTGTCTGGACAGGGAGACTCCATGCAGTCTTGGGAGAGAATGATGCCACATGTTGAAGGCCAACATTACTTTTGTCAGTGGCTTTCACATAGGAAGTGACCACTCATAGACTCCAGTGCAAGCAATAATAGACAACTCTCCCATTTGTGCTTCAGTATATGTAGGAAGATGCTCTGTCAGTAGGCCTTCTCCTGTATTGGAGCTTTGGGAGAGATTCCAGACCACTAGTTTATAATCACATGGAATGTTTTTTACTGATGGAATGATTTTCTCATTCATGCTTTGTGATGGACACAATATATTACCAGGAAGTGACTTTTGATTTCACTGCACAGCACATGACGTTGGATTGGGTTATGTAACTCACAGCTGTTATCCACCATCTTGGAGCAGAACTGCTTATATTTTTGTGTCTCTTGCCACCGTGTGGTGGAAAGCGTTAATGCGCAAGTGTGCACTGCTTCATTGGAGGGGACACTGTACAGTCTTCTTAAATAATGAATGCAGAATGCTGTTTTCATATATATTTTGACATATATATGATGCTGTATACACTGCCAGCCAAAAGTCTGGACACCTGCTTATAGAAGGGGTTTTCTGATTTTTATTATTTTCCACCTTTTAGAATAATAGACATCAAAACTATGACATAACACATATCAAGTTATGCAAAGAACAAAAAAGAGAACAAAGAAAACAATTCTCTAACTATTTTAGATCTCCCTTCGCCTTGCTGCAGCTTTACACACTCGCCAGGGTAAAACTTTAGAGTTCAAATGTTGATCTTTGATGGCTTCCTTACGAGAAATAGCATCAGACATAAGATACAGGAGAGATAAAGGACAGATTAGAGTTTAGTTGCAGATAAACATAAATCAAACTGAAAATATCTGAGCACAATGTGCAACTTTATTGAGATCTTTGCTAAACCCCAAGAGGAGATTTGTAACTCCACCTGATTTCATTGTTGTCTAAGAGAACCTGCAGAGATGTTAAATTCTCTTTTTCTTATTTTTCTTTCTTATTGGTCTTGATAAATCTCTCGAATGGCTTTACCAGAAGTGATACTTTTCCAGCAGAACTTCATGCATTTAAGCATAAACTGTTAGATCAAAATGTCTTTATCATTATGAAAAATGCAAATTCAGTTAGATGTGTCCAAACTTTTGACAAGTAACCTCCACTAGTCAGCGATTAACAACAAGCCTAAAATCAAGCACGTGAACCATCAAAATATCAGTCATAAAACTGATAGTTCCAGTTCTAGTTGATTTGCTAAGCCACATTGGAAGCCACTTAAAAATACTTGATATACACACACTTATGAATGCACACATCAACAGAAATCTGTATTAATGCACAATGCAAAAGTCTTATCATTGCTTTTGATGCAGTATATCACTGTAGTGCTATCTCCCTCTTATATTAAGCTGCATGCTCATTTTCTAGGACTATCTAGCAGAACCAATTGGCTGTTGCACCTTTATTTAACTTGAATGATAAACCTGCCTATTTAAACCTGTTTTTAATGAGATAAATTGGAAATAAAATTGCATTAAATTAATGTAACCAATTGCATTGGTCAAACAATTGTTTATTTGTCAGGTAACCTCTAACCTGGCCGGCAGGTTAGAAGTTACTTAAGAATTGCTATGAATTTTTCAGCCAGTTTTTGAGGAAGTCCCTATAGTTACTGAATAATAAGTCTTACTATGTAATAAGCCTGGAATTTTAAGAGGTTAATGGTTAATTGGTTAATCATTTACATCGTAACAAAAAATACTAATATGCCAATTTTGGAATATTAGCCTAAAAATTGTTTTAATTCACCACCACATTTTTCCTTCATGTTTTCTGCACTGTAGGTTGCTCAGAGGTTGGATTCACACAATCATGTTCTGGCAAGCCAACACAACCAAAGATAACTCACCTCCAGATCCCCTTCTACAACCATGGCAGCCTGTGAGCTTTTCTTCTAGGCCACCAGAGGGCAGTGTACCGTGACAGTAGAAGACAAACTATCTACTCCTGCTCCATCAGCTGGGTAAATGGGCCACTCAAAAACATCTATATCACTCGGCACCACAATGTTGCTAATATAGACATGGCTGCATGGATGCTGTTTTGGAAGAAAGGGAGCAGAGAAGTTCTCGCTTCAAGAGTTTCAAGCACATATAAACCTACACGCTTGCGACATGGTGACAGCATGTGGCTCGCCAGGATTTGTGATTCCATGTTCCTGTAGTTGCTTAGATAACAAACTTGACTCCCCTCTCATCTCAGGGATGGTAGAAAACACAGTGAAAGCAAATCAGACAAAACTTCATAGGTTTTTCCTCTCCTGTAAATTACCCTTTTTTTTGTTCGGACATGATTAAAAAAATTCAAGAAAAAAAAGCAAAAAGCAAAGGAAAAGTGAAAAACGACATCGACGATGACAACACAAACGTCTCCATCGTATGCTCAGTTTTTAACTCTACATTCCAGAATGGAAAAAAAAAAAATCCTTTCTTTTTCTTCTCTGAATGCAGACTCTTGTTTCTCTATTCTCTTGCGATGTGTTTAAGAAGTGTACAGTGGATTCAGAATGCATGTAACTTTATATCCAAGACCTTACACTGTTCACCAATTTGATGAGAGTGGCCATAAGACACTGAGGATTCGGAATAAAGGTAAAGACGGAAGGAATACCCGCACGAAGAAAGAACGAACACACACTGGATAAACACTTGTACGGAGGACTGCAACGGTATTGTTGGAGAGATTTTGAGGCTTGGACCGGTCAGTTAGCCATTGCAAAGCCATTAAGGAACCACCCCCAGCGCTGGGATCCGGTTCTGTCTCAACTGTTCTACAATGTCGGGGACTCCGGTGTTTCTGATGATTTTGTTGTGTGGTCTGATGTCCTTTTAATTTCGTTGCCTAATTTTTTTTTCTTTCCTTGGAGTCGCCTTAAACATTACTACTGATTTTATGTTTTCAGAACATGCTTTTTTTTTAGTCCATGGTTTTTAATTATGATTTTGCACACTGGACACTGCTTGTATATAATGACAACAACAAGCCAAAAGGCTGGGAAGTGTATTTATATTTTTTTGGATTTAGATTATGTTCTTATTTTATAATTTTGGTTATTTTTATTCATCGTTTTTATGGTCGTCTTATTATACCTTTTCATTGAGTTTATTTATTTTTGTATCGGTTTAGATATATATATATATAAAAAAAAAGCAATAGTGGATGGCGGTCAGTCAGTCAAGAGCACAATCGTTAAGACGTTTATACACTAGTGGTCAGGAGAGCGATGCATCTGTCTATAAAACTGAAATGTTTCTCGAAGACCCAGCCTTGCTGTCCATCAAGTCTGAAACTGTTGCCCAGTCCCTATGCGGGCAAAACAACAAACAAATAAACAAGGAAAACCCCAAACCAACTCTCCAAATCAAATTAAAGCAATAGTACTGAGTAATAAGAAATTAGCTATCCTTAAACTTGTGATTTGTTTTAAGCAATTTTTTTGATAATTCCAGTTCCAGTGTAATCGATATGAAAAAGCATGAGAAATTGGTTGAGGACCCAAGGTCAGATAAGCGGATAAGTGTCATTGGCGCCTCTAGGACCACACTCGGTGTCGATATTCTCGCCTAACCAATCACTTTACACCGTGTCATCGAACGGGCAATGGTGTTCAACCCATGCAGCACAGACAAATTTGCATGTGATGTATAACACTGTTCCTAGTTGTAACAGAAGCCTCTCAGGTCAGGTCCTCCAGCAGTTTGAGCACTTGCGTTGGACAGGGTAGTGACAGGCCTTTAGGTTTTAGTGGTATGACTGAAATGTAGCTACTTAAGCTGGGGTGATAGCATGCTTTAGGACGAAAAAAGAAAAAAAAAAACAAACACCCAAGTCACCTCGATGTTGTTCCACGTTACGAGTGTGAGTGAATGAGTTTGGATGTATGTATGTATGCCTTCTGGGGTTACGAAAAGAAACAAAAAAAACAGATCAGCAAACAGACGGGGTGATTTTGAGGGGCAACTTTACATTTCAAATGTTCTATGCAATGATTCTTATTCGGGGAAAAAAAAAACATGTTCGGAGAGGCGAGACAGCGCTCAATAACGTCGTCACACTAGTCGTGCCAGAACAAACTAGATAGTAGTTCCGACAAAAAGAACAACTTCAACACAGGATTGACTTGTTTGTAAATAAGTAATTGTAAAGAGTTGAACTGAACTTTGTTTTTATGAGATTTCGTGGCATGTTTGAGTCCCCCCACCCCCTTCATGCAATGTTCAGGCGCATCTGCAAAGCGGCCATCGACTTCTGTCGCTTCCTTCTCACCTCACTCATGGGATTGTGGGTAGCTGGGGGTCCTGCACTTACTTTTCATGAGCCAGAGTGACCACCTCGCCAGTCGCTTAGCTGCGTGTTTATGCACTTGTTATTATGTAGAAACTGTATCGCAGTGTGATTATACAAATCAGATTCCATAAGGTGGTGCATATTCAATTCATCAGGAGGAACATTTACAATTCAAAGGATAACGCATTCACTGAAAAAGTCAGAACCATTTCTGTAATAGTAAAAATGCTCTTTGTGGGGTTCAAAAGCATCCGTGTTTTCATGAATTCATACTTTTAAAAGAATAACTACAGGCTACGGGAGATTTCGTGCAATATTAAACATTGAGTAATGTGGTTCTAGAGGAAAGAAGTACAACAGGACAAACCTGAATTTGTCCTGAAAAGTTCATCTAATGGGACCATTTGATTCCTCCTGTTTTATTCCATTGTTGCCACTGTGCTTTATAGACCTGCCACAAGAAAATGTGTGTTGATAATATTGAGTTGAGCATTTTAAAGCTTGGGTTGGGCAGCACGTCACATAATCCCTTAATCAACATACAGTTCATGATAAACGTGTTTTAATGTATTAGTTTCTATGAATATATTTATTTTTTCAAACATGCAAATTCTAAATAACTATACCTAAACATTATTTTAGTACCTATATAAATTATATCAGACCTAAATAATATTAAAGAAAGAGGCAAATAGAGTATATCTTATGCTTATATAAAGTATATGAAACTTTTAAAAGATTGTAAAGGGAGTAGAAGATAATCGTAAAAGTATATCACTTTTGATTGGTTCGAATCCCCACAATCACAACAAAAGATATAGAAGTCTAGGTATATATTATTAGAAATCATGACAAAATAACATACGTTCTTCGAGTTACTTTTTGCGTTTAATCTCGTTCACCTCAGGAAAGCACAGTCACGGTGACATAAAAGGGGGCTTAATATGCATAGCTGTAAGGGCTTATTTACAATACTGAGAAAGCCATCTTGTTTTTGCCCTGAGCCAACTGGATCACTGGGGCTTTTCAGTGGTAGTTTGTGACAGGGAATCCACATCATTCCATGTCTAATTGTTTTAAACCAACCAAAAAAAACATGTACTACCACTACTGTGCTGTGCCCCCCCTCCCCCTGACATTTGCTGCTCTGGCTGGCTGTTAGCACACAGAAACAGAATGAAGAGTGAAGGGCTAGTTTATTAGGCTGGGTTTCAACCTAATCCTGGACTCAGAGGGGAATTCGGTGAAAGTAAGCTTGGATTTGAACCTCTTTGCAATCCAGCATCAGCCTAAGAAACTGACTACAATGTTACAGAAGCCAGAGAAAGGTCACAGAGATAGAACGGACTGAGATGAAATGTAAAGCTACAAACAATCCTGTCACTCAAACATCAGGGAAAATGTCATCTTTTGTTTAAAAAAGAAAAAAAAGAAAAAAACCTGAAGTAACAAGTGCATGAGCCTTTAGCAGCAGTCCACCGATCCCCCTTTTTCTTTTCTCCTCAGACCCACCAGCGGCCATTTTCACTATAAATACCAGACATGTAAATCTCACGCGTGTGCACAAAACAACCCTAAACGGAAACAAGCAACCAGTGTGTAAAACAGCTCAATGACCTGCCAAAATTGTGCTTTTGTGTATAAAGTTTGAAAAAAAAATAAAATAAAAGGTCAAAGCATCAACACCTACTGACGAAACGTTAAAAGCAACATTGTGATTGTGGTCGGCTCATGTGGACTGTTTGGAGAATATAAAAAAAGAATAAGTTGTATTCGGAAACATTATCGGTCTGTGTAGAGTTTCTATACATGTTGTGTTTGTAAAATGAGAAAAAAAAAAACAAAAAACCTTCCTTCATGAAGATGAGAACCTGGCTTCCATGTAATTTCTGGGTTTGGGGCAGGAGAAATTTGAAAGGAGACATGTAAGTTTAAATATAAAACAGTGGAAATAAGAACTTCAAAGGGATCGAAATAATGATTAAAAAAATTGTTACATTCACTGTTGTAAGTGCAATGAGCTATTATTCATGTACCCATTGTAAACCTTGTGTATGTTTCAGTGTATACCTGTAAACAGTTGTAGTTGGCTTGGTGCATCATGTCATGTTATGTGATGAATGAAATAATGACCCTACAATACATTTCAATCAGGAAAAAAAGAATAAATAAGAATTTGAAAAACAAGCGGCTGTACTTTTTTCTGAGTGGAGTAAAAGGAAGGCAGCTAGAGAGCAGGTTGAAGGAGAGGTATTATTCATGGACAACTTTAATGATACATTGCAGTGTGGAATATAAGTGGAAAGATATACTGTTCTAGATAGACTGATAGTGACAGATACATTCAGAAGTCTTTGTTTGTATTTTTGTAGGCCAGTCCTTACAAATAAGAATCTAATACAGTGGTCTCCAACCCTGGTCCTAGAGATGTATTAGATGTATCAGATGTATTAGGGTTAAGTAAGGGACGGGGCAGCTAATTGGATACAGGTTGGAACTAAACTCTGCTGGAAAGTAGCTCCAGGGTTGGAGACCACTTATTTAATACATTTGGTACCGTCATGTAATATTCCTGCAGTATTCCACTTATCTATTTCTTGCTAAATATTGATAACGGCCATGAAATCAATAGGTTGAATTTATCTTCCTTTTACGTTTTGAATGAATCTGATCCATTATCTAAAAACTCCAGTCTTGGTTTTTTTACACCTGTAAAATGCCATTTAAAACACTGTTTTTCATTTTTCATTTTAATGTAAACAGTCATTCAGAGTGGTTTGATGTGAAAAGGTTAACTGAAGAGAAACTGACAGACTCAGATCTCTACAGTGGTAGTGATAGGAAACAGTGGTCATGATGTCTGCAATGCAAATACAGCCATTTTATTTACTATCTAAAACCACCAGTAAACCTACCTGTGTTTTCTGAGTTTAGTGTAATGTTGATGATGAACCTCCCAGCCATTAATGAATTTTTAAAAAGATACATTTTAGAAATGTCTCAGATATCAGGCAGCATATTTGTAACAATTTCATATAATAACTAACTGTGATGTAGCTTTTAGAGGCATTAAATTGTTCAATGTCTGGTTCCTATTACCAACACTGTGAACAGTTCTGACTCAATAAGTTTCTATGTGAAGGAGCATATTATATCAAACCATTCTGAATGATTTTGTTTACATATAACAATCTAATGATGCAGATATTACGAAGAACTGGTGGAATTCTCCTTTACTGCATTATCATTATGAGAACTTTTCAGACTGAGTTCATTTTTATTTGATTTTTTGAAAATCACTTATTGTCCCAGCCCTAATCCTTAAAGGGCCCATATCATGGAGAACTGAATTATACTTTTTTGAAATAAAGGAAGTCAAATGTATTATATAAACATTGTTAAAGTTTCACTCCCCAGAAAATATATGGAAACTATGCTGCAAAAACAGCGCATTTTGAATTCATTCTTTCTGTGATGTCAAAGGAATCCAGTCATTTACATTGCATGTAATAGCTTTCTGTGAGGTAACTTTTAGAGGCTTTAAACTCTTTAGACATCTGGTTCCTATTACCACCACTTTCATTCCCCAGTCCATATATGGAACAGTGTGCAAACACAACCCATTTTAAATTCATTGTTTGTATGATGTCACAAGAACCAGCCCTTTAACATGTATCCACCTGCTTCAGCCTACAGCAGTGTAGCTCCGCCCCATTCACACTGAAGTTCTAAGGAGTGCTTCTATGATGCACAATACAGGGCAGCCAATCAGAGTAGAGTCCATTTGCATATATCCCTTTCATTTCCTTTTTGTTCCTGTTGCTGTACAACATGTTGTGGAATTACAATAAATGAATCTGAATCTGAGCACTGCAGTTTAAGTTGTCCCTGCGCAGACTGTCTTATCGTTAGCTGAATCAGGCCTGTTAGAGCAGTAATAACATAAACGACAGGATTAGAGCTGGGAAATAATGAACTAGACAACATTGAGCCAATCACAATAGAGGTCATTTGCATATAGCAGCCTTAAATGCACAGTAACAAAAACAGCCGGTAAAGAGAGGTTGTAAAACAGTCATGTAAAAATGAATTATGACCAATTTTGGTACATAAAGCCACACAAATATTATAAGGACTGTAGTAAACTACAGTTCTCTATTAATAGTCTGCAAACATTATAGATCGTTATTTATTGCTGGCTGCAGTAGGATTATATTGTGAGCTGTGCTAAATAAGACAAATTAAATTGACACATGCACACGTGCTTCTACAAGTACAAGTGCAGTTCTACAATCTTTACTGTACAATTGCTTCCTTCACAGTACAGTTGCTGTATTACTGTACAATCAGGGCCCACTTGGCCACTGTTTAGGGTAGGTCTTATTCCTAGCCACACTCACTTTACACTTAAATGTACATATATATTTTTTGCCTATTTTATTTTTCATGGTGTTTACTGCGGGTTTCTTCTTGATTTTATTATTGCTGCTGCCCGAACCGGAACTTGAGTGCCTCATTTCGATTCACTTTCATGGAAAGACAATATATGAATCTACATCTGCATCTGAGCACTGCAGTTTGTCCTTGCGCATACTGTCTTATCGTAAGGCAATCATCAATTGCTTCTTCAGCTGAAACAGGTCTGTTAAAGCAGGAAAACCCTGAGCCACAGGATTAGAGCAGGGAGATGATGAACAGGTTACTCTTGTCCCTTTAAACCAGTCAAAACACAACGCCATTTCCTCAAAGGAGAGCACGCGGGCGCATGCGCAGTAGCGACGAAAGGGTGAATGAAACGGAGTTGAATCGTTTTCTGTCATAATTCAGAAATTTACAGTACAAATATTTTCTCTTTAGAGGCTTTCTAACTTCTTTAACTAGAGGTGTGATCCTCCCATAGGCATCGTTATTTGTACCTGGTTTGTTTATGTTTTGGGGAGAGAAAGTGCCCAGTAATAGGCTGCTAGCTAATTTTATTTGGCTGGAGGAGAGAAGCGAAGCTTGCAGCTGAACTAAAACACAGTCAAGAAACATTTAGAAACAACAGACAACAAAGACAGGCACTGCTTTGACGGTGTTGGTTAGTCCAGAGATGGATCTTAAAGGCGACGGGAATTTGAAGGTAATTTAATTTATAAAAAACGCTTTAACGAATCAGTCAGTACCATAGCTAAAGTCTTAGTTTTATTTTTAAGTGACTTAAAGCTGTGTGTGTCACTAAATAAGCTGGGGTTAAGGTGAATGGGTGGCCCCAGATAACTGATAACGTTACTTCCTACTCTCCTACTTCCTACTAACGCCGACTTGACTGGAGTAAACCGTAGTGAATGTTAGCTTAGCTAACTTTAGCTGGCTAGCTAACTTAGCTAGCTAGGTTGCTAAAGTTGCGTAGGTTAAACAAAAACAAAAAGACAATATTGAATCAAATGTAACGTTAATATGTGGTGGACGAGAATTCCCGCCAGGCTTAACAGTGTTATTCCTGTCATTAACGCCTCTTTAGTTAGCTAGCGTTAGTTAACTAGCTAGCTACGACTTCCTTGTTTTGTCTTGGAAAAGAACAGTGCTTGGTTTGAATGAACTGTCAACAGATTTTTCAGTGCTGAATAACATTATAGCACGTGACTAGCTGCAGTCGAGTGACTTAACTAAGTTAGTTCTCGTGGGCGATTTAGACAAAACATGGCATTTGCGAGAGAATTTAAGGCCATATTGTTCTCTGCCCGGAGTATGTTACTGAATTCCCGAGTGAGTTTATCCCGTGTGTCTGATAAGGTACTGACCAGCCCGGAGGACATTGCTAAGCTCTACCGGGAGCAGAGTCTTTTCCCCTCCCTCAGCCGCGCCGACGTGGGGCCAGTTATCACTTCACAGTATGGAGGAAAGTACAGCAACATCTCCACAGGTGGGCATTATGCTGTGCTGTAATATGACAGATTTCACAAAGCAGAACTTCTCAGTAAACTGGAGAACTCAAAGGGAAATTCCGCCGATTTTTCAAAATTTGTGCAGAATTAAATGGTAAATGTCTAAACAGTCATTCGGAGTTATTTGATTTGAAGTGTTTCCGCTCTAGAAAAAAATAATTGTTCACAGTGTTGGTGATAGGAACCAGACGTCTGAAGCATTTAATAATAACAAGCCATTCGTGGCAAAGGGGTGCCTGTAGGGCGTTGTGAGGCAAAATAGACCCCAAAGAATATATTTTTCCAGATTTAACTCTATTTTACCAAAATCACCATCACATTTAAAATATCAGAACACACATGTAGGTTCAGTGGTTGTTTTGGGTAATAAATAAAATGGCAATTTTTACATTATAGACAATGGGCCCCTGGTTCACCACCACAGTAAAGAAAGTTGGCAAGTTTCTGTACAAAGAATCATTTTGTGTTAAACCACTCTAAATAACTTTGTTTACATATTAATGACGGAATTAAACAGACGTTTTGAAAAATCGGTGGAATTCCCTTTTAAACCAGAGTTGAGGACCTGCCATTCGGAATGTCCCTTACCTTTATCATGCCCCCTGCAAGGATATACACATACACTTTTACTTTAATCTGTAGACTTGTAGATGATGGCTCTACTAAAATGTTCTCCTACTGTTCTATAGATGCTTAAGTAGCTTCTTGCCCTGATTCACATTGGCAACTCTTACCCACATTGTTTTAATAAGCTCTTTTAACTTGTACACCATGTGCATGCACATCTAATTCATGTTGTGGTTAAAGCATGGAAATGTGCTCTGAGGTTCTCAGGACTGCGACTGAGAGCTTTCCTAGAGCTGCTTTTTTCTTATATGTCTAATAACCCAGCAGTTGCTGTTTTATTTATATCAGTAACAATATATGATAATGCTGCAAAACAAATTACTGGTGTAAACTTTACAAATGAGCTCTGTTTTATTTTTCAGAGTGGACTCAGCGGGATCTGGAGAGAAATGAGAATGTAAAATTCTGCCGGCAGTACATTGTATTTCATGATGACAAATCAATAGTCTACTCAGGCCCCTCTGGAAACTGCACAGAAATCAAGGGAGAGTAGGTATCCTAGTTAGCTATTCAAGAGGTTGTTGTCTGTCGTAAAGTTGCCACAGGCAAAATTTCTGGTCTTTCCATAAGACACCTGCTAGAGTAATTTTCTTCTCAGCCAGATTTAAGAGTACCTGATTCAGCTAATAAAGGTGTTTTAAAGAACAAAATCAGTTCAGCTCATGAAAATAACCACACAGATAGAGCTGTAAAAACAAAAAAAAAAAGCTGTGAATAAGAAACAGTGTGAGATATAATGAAATTGCACAGATGTATTCAGATATTTTGGAGCTCTGAAAGAATAGTTCACCACCTAAACAGAAAGTGTGCAGAAAGATCAGAACAAACTGCCAAACATGGTGGAAGTAGTGCAATGCCTTGATTCAGCGGTATTCCAAAAGAATAAAAGAAGTACCCTGAGATAAAAGGTGATATTTTGTAATTTGCTTAATATTTGTCTTTTCGTTGTTAATCCTAATTATCTGTGTACCCAGCAAAAATTCTAGGTAAATAAAGATCACACGTTTAAAATACTTGCGAAGGTCACTGAAGCTGCTTATAAGCATTTAGAAGTAGGGATCCCATGAAAACTGCTGTATCCCCAGACTGCAACTGGGTGATATGTAGGGCCTGACCGAGGTTGTGACCAATACCAGTAATGATTGAAGGAATATGTTGGGCTCTGTTAATATGATTATAATTCAATGGAGTCACTGATCACTGCACTGTGATTGTATGCAGGTTGCTGAGCAAAGACTCTCCCTCTGGGGATATGAAGGCTGTTGTGAGGGCATGCACTATCAAAGGAGAGGAGAAACAGTTTCTCGAGGTGAGTCACCATGAAGTTATCAATGTTCGTTTCTTAATACTGCCAAGGTGCCCTGGCTTATTTTATGTGCGTGGTGTTCAGTATATTGCCTGTTCTGTAAGACTTAATGCGCATTTCTGGTGCTTGTTTTCTGAATAGACATTTGAACACCTTTGCACTTTTGTAGTTTGCTGTTCTCCATGTTTTTCTTCCATTGTTCCTCATGCTTTCTCACTTTTTACCTATTTCTTTTTTGCCTGTGGATTTTCACTGCTTTGTTCTCCTAACTTTTCTTCCCACACCATGGTTGATTGCAGATCTGGCATAAGAACAGTAAGATAAAAAGCCTCAACCTTACTGCACTGAAGAAGCATGGAAAGGTGTATGAAGATGGTAATTGCTTTACAGTTTTAGTTTTAAAATAGCTTTCTGGTGTATTGGTTTTAGGAAAACACTGACTTACAATGTCAAGAAAAAGTATGTGAACCCTATAGATAGTTTTGAATTAAATGATTATAAAATGTGATCTGTTCTTCATCTTAATTCTATATTCTTCATCAAATATAGGCAAACCCTTGGATTTAATAAATGGTCGAACCGCCTGTCGGCAATAACCTTCTGCAAGCACTTCCGGTAGCTGCAGTTTAAACTTGTACAGCGCTCGAGGAATATTGAACCATTCTTGCTTACAGAACTGCATCAACTCAGCCATATTCTTCTGATGTCTGGTTTGAATGTCTTTCTTGATGTCCATTCCACAGCATCTCTGTTGGGTTAAGGTCTGTGATCTGACTGGGTCACTCCAAAAGATGAATGTAATTTTTTAAAGCTGTTTTTTAGTAGATTTACTATATTGTTTTAGGGTCTTCATCATGCTGCATCACCAAGCCTCTGTTGAGCTTCAGCCTTCAGACAGCCACCCTGACATGATCCCGTAGGATACCTTGATAAACTTAGGGATAATTTTTTTTTTTCCATTGATGATGGCATTTGGTACAGGACCATGTCATGATGCTCCACCATACTTCATCATTGGGATTATATTTTCATGTTGGTATACAGTGCCCTTTTATATTGCATACATAGCACTGTATGTTCTTCTGTAACAATGCAGCTTTTGTTTCATCAGTTCACTAAATATTTACGCTTTAGCATTTTGCAGTGTCAAGATGCTTTGTGATAAACGTCAGAAGTGCAGTGGTTTCCTCTGAGGTATCCTGCCATTGACACCATGCCTGTTCAATGATTTTCTTAAAATAGACTCAAGGACAGAGATGTTAACCAGTTGCAATTTCCAAATCCAGTCTCTTTTGAGATTACTTTGTAATGCTTTCCAACAAATCAACAATTATTGATCATAGGCCTTCTGAGGTCTCTTTTTTGCAAGCCATGTTTCGCTAGCTCACACTATGTTTTAAAATGACTTTACACAGAAATGCAGATTCCAAAGGTTTCACATACATTTTCTTGTCACTGTAGATCAAATTTCAAAAATATATGCTTCACGGATTCTGTGAGCTCAGACAAGTGTTTAAAAGTTCAGTTGTCTAGAATTTTAAATGGTCCTTAATTGCTTTTTAAATGAACACTTGCATAACAGCCAGAGGAACCATATTTCTGGTGGTCCAGGAATTAAATGGGTTTAATCTTCCCATTCACTGTGAATTGAGTGTGTGATCTAACATTTTTAGAAGTTACTAGTCTCACCATGTTTATTTGCTTTGAATCTGTAGTTGATCTGTTGTTTCTCTTTGTTTGTAGATCAGTTTGGCTGCCTAGTTTGGTCTCACTCTGAAACTCACCTCCTGTATGTGGCAGAGAAGAAGCGGCCCAAAGCAGAGTCTTACTTCGAGGTCTTGCACATCACATGAAATGAATCGACTTGCTTATGGTTTATGTTTTGGAAAATAGTGTTCTTGATGATAATTATCTCCTCAACCCCACCTACCTTTTTTTTTCTTGTGCACCCGAACAGTCAGGGTCTGAACCCAGTTTGCTTGGTGACGAGGAGGAGGAGGCGGTGAAAGCTGAGAAGAAGGAGGATACCGTCAAGGTAAAAAACAAAACATAAAAAGTGCAGTTACAAAGGTGTGATTTTGATCTTTTTGTATCTACTTATTATCTAGTTATGGTGGTGTTTATTGTGGATTATCAAAGTACATGGCCAAATAATATTTGTAGTTTTTAGATGGTTAAGGTTAGAGCTGAGTTTAGATAAAGATGTTGGAATATTTTGCCATTTTGTTAAAAATTATAATTGATATATATAAATATTTGACAAGTGCAGTATGTTCATATGCTTATCATAGATGTACAATGTAAAAGGTCCTTACAGTAATGTGTATTCTTGTGTTGCATATTATTTTCTTTCAGGGTGACCAGTTTGTGTATTATGAGGATTGGGGAGAGGCTCTGGTCAGCAAGAGCACACCTGTGCTCTGTGTTTTGGACATAGAGGGTAACAATGTATCTGTGCTAGAGGGCATACCGGACAACATCTCCCCAGGGCAGGTGCGTGTGAGAGTCCTTTTGAGAGCAGCAGACAGAGCTAGGATGTTGATTATTTGTAGTGTATGAATGTATGAATGTGGGTTTACTACAATCTTTGGTATAATCCCTGTATCTGCAGGCATTCTGGGCACCTAATGACACTGGTGTGGTATTTGTAGGATGGTGGCATGAGCCATTCAGACTGGGCCTGAAATACTGTCCCAATAGAAGGTACATCTGCCTCTGTTGTACAAGGCCATGACAGCTTAACAGACCTACTGTTTGGCTTGTGTTTTGAGTGTAGTACCATGTTGCTGTTATTTATAATGCAGCGTATTTGTGCTCTGTATGCCAGGTCTTCTCTGTTTTATGTGGATCTTACTGGTGGGAAATGTGGTATGTCATGCTTCTTTACTTTAAGTTTTTATTAGCATATGTAAAATGCTTTTACATTGTACTGTGTTCTGCATACGGCTGCATGTGAACTCGATCCCTCCACTCCTTCCATTCCTCTCTTTTCCTTTCCTCTCTCAGAACAGTTGTCGTCAGACTCCGCTGCAGTCTGCTCTCCTCGTCTGAGTCCAGACCTCTGCCGCATTGTCTATCTTGAGTGTGGAGTGTATGGCCCACATCAGCAATGCAGCAAGCTGTGCATGGTGCGTCTGTCTGTGTTTATGTTTTCTGCTTAATAGCTGGAGTTATTTTGATTTTGTATCTAATTATGCTGGTTTTGTAAACAATTTCAGTATGACTGGTATACAAAGAAGACATCAGTGGTAGTTGATGTGGTCAGGAGAGCCGGTGAAGGTACTGCATGTTTGTCTTTAGCTTAACTTAAAAGATTTCTGTTGCAGAGAAATAGCTACTTTTAAAAACATCTTGACTGCTTGTTGTAGCCTGTATTTGTGTGTGTGTGTGTGCGCACGCAGATGGCTTTACTGGAATCTACAGCTCCATGCTGTCTCATCAATGCTGGTCAACTGACAGCAAGCGAGTCCTTGTATCCTGTGCTCAGCGAAGCCGCAAGGTATTTCATAGCAACCGTTGCCTAGGAGACTCTCACCATAGTAACCTTTGCCATGGTGACGGACATCATAGGAACTGTCTGCTTGCTGATGAAAGCTAGGCAGATTAGTCTTTTTTAGAAATGCAAAATACTGTTATTTCCCCAAGGCCTACTTGTTTGTATGAGATTATTGACCAGTAATAAAAACAAAATGTGGCAAGTGTGTTGAGAAGTAATGGACTGATTTACATTGTTAGTAATATTGTGGAAAATTGGCCCTAAATTTCCTAAATCTGTTCTGTGTGTGTCTATTTTCTAGGATCTTCTAGTGGTTGATACTTCTACAGGCCAAGTCACATCTCTCACCTCTAGTACGTGCTTCACTCTTTTCCTTGTATTCTCTTGTGTAGTTGCACTCATATAACAGTCATCTCTTGTTTCTTAGAGTCTGACATGGGAAGTTGGTGTCTGCTGACCATTCAAAGGGACTTGATGGTGGTTAGTTGTTCTTCTCCAAGCTGTCCTCCAAACCTGGTAAGAACTTTTTTTTTTGACTCTAAGGTTCTTCCTATTTGCTATCTTAACCATTGCCTGTGTACAAAAGAAAACTGATCACAGATCAGCTTCAACAATAAGTATTACTATATGTAGTACTGTGCAAAAGTTTCAGACTACTCTTTTATTTTATTCAATTTAGTCAAAATGGCCATTAAGTAAAAAATTTTATTTGTAAGTCAGGAAAAAAGCAGGACAGATACACTATATGGACAAAAGTATTGGGATAGATGTCTTAATCGTTAAATTTAGGTGTTTTATTCGGTCCCATTGCCACAGGTGTATAAAATCAAGCACCTAGTCATGCGGTCTGAAAGTCTGAAAGGATGTGTAGCTGTCAAGAAGCCATTACTTAAGTAACATATGGTAGCAGATACATGAAAGACACTTTAAACTACAGTATGTCTCCAAGGATCACAGCAAGTTAGGGGATGTATAAGAGGATCTTGGTGATTTGTTTTTGATTGAAGTCAATATGAATACTAATAAGTACAAATTGTAGTACAGCATGCAATACCCAGTGGAAAAAATTGTTCAGGAAGAAATTAATGGACTGGCCACCCCACAGTCCAGACCTTAGCAACACTGAATGTGTTTGTGATTACTTGGATTGTGAGATGCGGAAAATGAACTTGGAGGTGTTCACGAGGAGCTTTGAAAAAATATTCCAGCAGATTTCTTTGAAAGACTGAAAGCACGTCTCCCAAAATAAATTGGAAGTTGTAATAAAGGCAAAGGATGGGCACACCACATACTGAAAAGAATATTTTATATTTAGTGTTTTTTTTTTTTCAGTTGAATAATAACTTATACATAATGGCTGTTTTGACTGTAAATGAAAGACATTTTTTTATTTCAATTTAAATGAAAGGGTGGGCTAATGTGTATATACACCAGTGACTCAGAACATTATGACCTCTCACAGCTGAAAGTGAATAGTATCGATTATCATGTCAAGGTCTGGGATATGTTAGACTGTAAGCGGATAGTTCTTGTAGTTGACATGTTGGATGTGGGAGAAATGGGCATGTATGAAGACCTAAACGACTTTAACCAGGGACAAATCATAATGGCCAGACTACTGGGTTGGATCATTTCTGATAGGGCAGTGCTTTTGGGGGAAAGGCATTGGTGAGTACCTACTGATGGGCATGAGCTTCATCGATGCGCAAGGGCAACAAAGGCTATACCATGTGGTCTGAACTGACAGAAGGGCTGCTGTGGCACAAGTCACTAAAATTTTTACTGATGGTTATGTGAGGAATGTGGCACAACACAAAGTGTGTCGGACCCTGCTGCTTATTGAGTTGCATGGCCATAGACCAAAGTGGCCATGCTAACCCCTGTGCACCGTCAAAAGCACCTACAATGGGCACGTAAGTTTGTGAGTGTCTGAAGAGGGAATTTGATGCCCTGGGCAAGGCGTTCATATGGACATCAATTTTGACACATGCCACCTAACTAAACATTGTTGCTGACTGGTACGCCCTTTCATGGCATGTGTCAAATTGATGTCCATATGAATGCCCAGACTCAGGGTTTTCCTGATGGCAGTGGCCGCTTTCAGCAGGACTATGTGCCCTGCCACACTACACGCATTGTTCAAGAATGGTTTGAGGAACATGATGAAGAGTTCAAGGTGTTGGTGTTGGTGTTGGTTTGGTCTTCTAATTTTCTAAATCTCAATTCGATCAAGCATCTGTGGGATGTGCTGGAAGAACAAGTCTGATCCGCGGTGATTCCCCAGCAACTTACAGGACTTGCAGCACTGCTGCTAACATCTTTGTTCCAGATACTACAGGGCAGCCTCAGAGGTCTTGCAGAGTCCATTTTTTGGCAGGTCGCAGCTGTTTTGGTGACCAACAGTATATTAGACAGGTGGTCATAATGTTTTGCTTCGTGTGTCTGTATGTGTGCATGTATGTTTGACACTGTAGCAATATACATACTGTGGTTTGAGGCAAAAAAATACACACACACACACACACATATATATGTTGCAAAAAAATCCTGTTTGTAGAGAGTGGGTTTCCTGCCATCCAGTGGTTCGGAGAATGAGGTTTCGTGGGTTACCCTAGAGGAAGCTCAGACACAGCCTGAAATTGATTGGCAGATTCTCACTTTCACTCCACCTTCTGATGAGGACAACAGCCAATACCGTGAGTTTAGGTTCTCCTTTAACTAATCAGCACATTCTTGTATGCATGTGACTTAATGAAACCTTTATTCTAATTTACTTATGTTACAAAAAGTCTCACAAATAGGTTACAGGATTTTGCAATATGCAACAAATTTCAGCCACTAATTAGAGACAGATGCCTCTGTCATGTAATGAAAAATTATTGTACTAGTATGTATTTAACATCTAACCTGATACACACATAGGGAAGGATCTTAGGCTTAAGAAAACAGATTTAGCTTGTGTAATTTCAATGTCTTATTCTAATCCTTCTGAAGTGAAAGGCAAACCATTACACTCCTAGTTTTCCTGCAATCTGTCATTTTATAATTTTAATTTATTACATCACAATACTTTCCAGTGTTTAAGGTAACACAAGCAAATAACAGAAATTTTAAACAAAATAATATTTCTGTATAATTTGCTTCTGTTGAAATTAAGCTAAAACTTAAACGTGCCACTTCAGAATGGTGTAGTTGATTCTTTTGGTAAGATTTTTAAATTGTATCTTGGGAATTTACTTCCTTCCATTATTTCCTTTAAACACATCAATGCAAATAAACAGTTCCTAAATAATCACATTAATAAAAAAACATGTTGTCTAACAGTAGATCAGCAAACAAACTGAGAATTAAATGTGGAAGTTTCAACCCTCATGGTGAATTTAAAAGATTTGTTGCAAATTGGTCCTTATTTCCTTTATGTTTATGGCAATGCTCCTTAATAATGTTCTGTATATGTAGCAGAATTAGTTATTCAGGATTTTTTTGACAAAACAAAATGACTTTTAAACACATTATTGAATCCACACATTCAGAAGAGAATATCATAAGCCTGCACACATCAGTGGCAGAATATATTAAAGAAATGTATTAATTTGAAGAGACTTGGCCATTACAGCATATGACATTCAACATACAAAACAAGGGTAGCGTAGATTATGTGAAAACAAATAGCGAACAGGGCTGCAAATTGGAAAAAGAAACCTAAGAACTTTGGCGTATATTAATTCAGCACATGAAAAATTTTTCAGGATGTATTCCATATGTTTCAAAGTGTTTGTTTGGGTCACTAAATTAAACATTAATTATTGTTGTTCGTTGTGTTTCACCAATAATGAAAATGTGGTGCTATATTCTGTCTTCCTCTGCTGCATTAGCTGGTCTGGACTTTGATGCCATATTGTTGAAACCAAAGGAAGTGAAAGAGGGGACAAAACTACCACTCATTGTCAACCCACATGGTCTGTTATGAAATTTTTTTGTAACCTGAATATGAATAATATTCATTATTACATGTTTTATTGACAAAGTCTTTTTCTTTCTGTCTTGTCTGTCTTTCCTTCTTGTCTGTCTTTCTTTCAGGTGGACCTCATTCTGTGATAGTTGCCGACTGGCTTTTGTCCCAAGCAGTTCTCTGCAAGATGGGTTTTGGTGTCTTACAAGGTGAGTAACAGTCACTGTAAACTGTTTATTTGTGTATTAAGGCTACTCTTCATCAGTAGTATACAGAACAGTATCCAGTTTGTGATAAAAGCCATGGGCAATACTACAGGGCAGGGGCGTGACTACAGTGCCAGCTTCAAGGGATGAGGCAGTCAGACCCATCTTAAGACCCATCCCATTTTTCTTAACCCTCAAATCACTTGTTAGCAACCACTGCTATCTGTTGTTCCACTCTTTAGCACCACGCTTAGATACATTTTGGTCAAAATATGTGCCTGGTTGACTTTTTGTTTTCTACCCTTCTCCAAAGCCAAAAATATACTTTTAAAAAATTAGATTTTGGTTTGGTATGTGGTAAATATGTTGGCTTCCAGAGACACTTGTGTTTTTTTCTGTTTGCCAAAATGTTGGTCTTTTCATTACATTCATTACATGACATTACATTTTTGGATGCAATATATTACAAAGATGGCTCTGCCTGTGTACTAGATTATTTGGTGTACTGAAACATTTGGTGTACTAGAGAAATTCATGTTGGTCACTTACTGTGTACTATTTACTACTGTTGGGCACAAGCTGGATGTAGTAGGCTGTTTCAAACACAGCCTTTGTACTCGCAAGGGCAAATAAACACCACCAGATACTTCTGCTGTGGGGGGAAAAAAAATACATCGAAACAAAAGTAATCACCCTTCAAATCTTCATAGACTGTATGCAGTATCATATAACTGTAATCAGAGACATATATCTGTATCTAGTAGTGCTTGCAAGTTAGGCTAACCCCTTTAACAGAAATAGTTTTATGACTAAGCTTATTACTTAGCCTAGTTAAGCACTGCCTTTGCCTGAACTGCTTTTATAAATTGTAAGAAATGCAAGATAATTGCATTGGATGTTGCTTGCAGACTAGCTAGCTAACTCCAGCTAACTTCTTTAGGTTAAAATAAGCTGTGATACAAAATGTTAGAATTTAACTCGTTTTCATAAATACAGTTCTATTGCTTATCCAGCCACATAAAGCAAAGCCTTTGGATGAATACATTTATAAATGTGTGTTAATGTTAAATAACTGCAGCTAACTATGCCTACAAGCTTGCTAGCTAACTCCACTAGACATTTTTGGTCTCTTCCTCATCTCATTCTGTGTTTTGGACTTTCTGAATGTAAGTGATCAGCCAAGACTAATCTGCCACCATTTGCTGTGAGATTAAGCGTGGCCTTTGTGGTCAGTTCTTTGAGTGTAGTAACTATTCATAGATGGATTAGATGAGTCTGTGGCTGTTTGTGTCTTGAAGGGATAGGGATAGGGATGGTGATGGTAAGTCAGTGATTGATTGGATGTGTCTCAAGATAAGTGCTTAAGCTTGGATCATTGTCTCTTGTTGGGCATTTAGCCATGGCAGTTTTACAAATAGATTGGATAACTCTCTCAGTCTCTCCGTTGAGTTGTAAGATTTTGCCCGAAGGGTGGATCTAAATCATTTCCATATCCTTTGTGCATTTGTCTGGGTGAGTGTGTTTTATTAGAGAATAAAAAACAATAGAAGCACAACAATAAATTAGGTAAATATTGAATGGTTTAAAATTGTAGATAAAGTGTATAGGCATAAGACAAAGTATTAATATATCCTTAAATTTCAGTTCTACTGCTGCATGTTCAAAACTGTATTTTAAAAAGTGTTTAATATGTCTCAAGTCAGGGTGAGAATCTAACAAATTGTGAAAGGGCAATAGTATTGTTAATATTTACAGTATCTGTAAAGAGAGATTATATACAAAATGGATTGACCTTTATAAACATGTTAATCCTGCTTTGGAAATGGGGAAACAAAAGAATAGCGGTTAGAAGTACTAGAGAAGTGGACACTCAAATAGGAAAAACTACACCCTATAGCAATGTAAGAAAGTAATGTGTTGTGATGTGTTGTGATGGGTTTTACTTCTGCTCTTTTAAAGGAAGACAAAGCTTTCCATTGTATTGCATGCCATTGCAGATTTTCAGTAAGATAGTGGGTTTGGTTTAGACATAACGACACATTGCCTTAACATTATTATGCCTACCCACTTTGAGGAGTTTACCCACTAGAGTTATTTCCCAAATATGCGTCAGGCTTGAATCGGGTTTAAATTCATTTTCAAGTTATCACAGCCCACCTGCCACTTTTTTTTTAGTTCTACATGCATGTTTTATCTGCATTCCCCCTGTTTTAATGACTCTTTATTTTATTCTTCCTGCTTACTTTCATTACCTTTAAAACTATTTTTAATTTAGCATGCTAGAGTCACACGGTTATGTTGTTGATAGAATTTAGGCCCACACTCATCAGAAAATGGAGCATGAGAACAGCCCATTAAAGAAAAGTGTATCCAGACTAAAGAACTTTGGGATGCTGAAAGCATTGCATAGTGAAGAAATCTGAAGATAGCTGTTTGTTTTATTATGTCATTATAATATATACTTTTTAAAAATAAACATGATAATGATGGCAGTTATTAATAGTTACATATTTTTTTTTTATTATAATGATGTTATAAATAAAAAATACAGACACAAAATCTGCTATGCAGTAATTTAACCTGCACTAGTGTTAGAAATATGAGGTTTTATTCAGCATTTGGTGGGCCGGTTCAGCTTGGTTTTAGACAGAATTTCGTCAGGCAAGTTTTGGTTCAAAACTGGATGATGTGGGTCGGATCGGGTTCAGACTAAATATTGTCGGGCTCAGGTTGAGTTGAGACTCAAAACTTGATGCTGTAAGTTGAGTCAGGCTCAGGCCCGGATAAAGCTCTGTATTACACTCTGGTTTCTTGGTTTTGTGTCTGTGAAGCATTGCTGCTAATATAAGATCAAAGTGTTTCAGTGCTTTGGTTCATATGAGTGACACAGTAAAACTGATCTACAGTCAACTGTCTCCTAAAGGAATGCTGCCCTGTACAAATGTTGGCTGAGTAAATCTTCTTGTTCTAGTGGTTCCTGTTAAATGCTGGCTGGCGTATTGTGTGATTCATCTTATCTGTGGTGTTGTCAGTCAATTACAGAGGATCTATTGGCTACGGTCAGGACAGTATCCTCTCCCTGCCTGGAAACATCGGCACTCAAGATGTGAAAGATGTCCAGGTGAGGATAGCATGATTCACTGTGTTACTGTGAATTACTCTTATTTTGATGGTCACTAATTTAGAGCGATGTAGAATCCCACCAACTGTAATAATGACAGAATTGGGCTGTGTTCAATAAACTCTGTGATTTATTCTTTTATTTGTTATTCAGTTGTTGTAATTATTCTGACTAAGAGAACAATATTGTTTTGTTTTGTCTGCCAAAAGTCCATTTTGAAAGTGTTGCTTGCCTCATCAAATAACCCCTTGACTTCTTGTCTAATTTGTATTCCAGTTTGCTGTTGAGAGTGTTCTGACGCAAGGTGACTTTAACAGAGAGAAAGTTGCGGTTACTGGGGGCTCCCATGGTGGTTTCTTGGCCTGCCACCTAATTGGCCAGTACCCAGACTTCTATAAGGCGTGTGTTGCCCGGAATCCAGTCATCAACCTGGCATCTATGATTGGCAGCACTGATATTCCTGACTGGTAATAAAAGAAGGGAAAAAAAAACGTCCTCTTCTTTTTTCTGTCTCTCCGTCTGCGTAATTCATAAGCTGTATTCTCTCCCCTCCTACTGTGGGCTTGCCTGTAATTATTCTGTTGCCAAATGTCTTTGGCAGGGGGAAACAATATGGATTCTAATTTAATGACATGAAATGCTTTTTATTTTACTCACAGATGACAAAGCCCTGCATATTCTGGGGTATTATATGTACATTCAAGACAGTACAACAGTTAAAAGGGATTTCGTGAATTCAGGTCCTTTAAAGCGCATCCATTGCTAGCACAATTGCACACACATAGCTTGTGTTACAATCGTCATAGAAAACCATTGCCAATAGAATGGGAGACTCTGGAGCAGCCACACATGACCCTAAGGTCGCCATACCCAATGCCGAGCTTTGGCTAGAGGGCTATAGAGCCCCCAGGCATCAGGCTGTAGAGCAGTGGAGCTGGGTTCTCTGGAGTGATGGAATATTTTTGGGTTGAGTTGGAGTGTATCTTATCCAGAACTAATCATCCAACATCAGTATCTGACCTCACTAATGCTCTTGTGGCTGAATGCAATCAAGCAATGTTCCAACATCTAGTGAAGTCTTCCCAGAAGAGTAGAGGTAGTTACTGCAGCAAAGGGAGAAAGACTCTATTAATATCCTTCACTTCAGAAGAAACGCTGAATGAGACATATAGTGTGTTTAGACATGATTGTGCATAATCTGGTAGGTTCAGTACTGTGTTGTTAACCGTTTTTGTACATTAGGATGGGACCTCTAAAAACATTCTCATGGAGTCAGGCTTTTATAGATCATTATGTTCCAAAGTATTTGCTTGTAAAAATCTGAACTGAATGAGGAACTCTGGGAAAATACAAACCAGACATAAGTGCTTTTGTTAAAGATGTATCATATATCTATATATAGAGATATATCATATATAGAGAATTGGTTCGTCTGCTGTCCTGCACTAGGAGAGGACTGTTATGCAATATAGATTTTTATTTCTTCATTTCATTTTGTGTGTGTGTGTGTGTGTGTGTGTGTGTGCGTGTGTGTGCGCGCATAGGTGTATGGTGGAAGCTGGATTTGAATACAGCACTAACGCCCAGTTAAACCCCACTATCCTGGAGCAAATGTTAAACAAGTCACCCATAAAACATGTGACACAGGTGAGTTTGTGTGCTTTTTCTAGGTATTGTACCCTTTTATTGCTTTAGTGCCAGCTGTCTTTAACCCACTTCACTGTTGAGTTTTTAAAATTCTGCGTTTTCTGCATGTTTCTTTTTTCAAATTCAGTTTGTTTGCCTTTTCTTAGGTAAAGACTCCTGTGCTGCTTACCTTGGGAGAGGATGACAAGCGTGTGCCTAATAAGCAAGGCATCGAGTACTACAGGTCTCTGAAGGCCTTGCAAGTGCCAGTCAGGTAAGCAGGGTTTAAAGTTGAAAAAAATAATTAGCTCTTCTATGGTGGTACAAAAAGTAATGCAGGAAAAAACACTCTTTTTCATATTTTAAAGCAGAATTACTGTTTATTTGGTGAATTGAACATATTGGGGAAAAAAATAAACCAACATGCAGCCTGTGCAAAAGTTATGGCTCATTTTATGTTGTTTTTTTTTTCCTTCCAATATGTAAAACATAGCAAATAAATAGAAATTGTGCCCTAAAATTTGCAGAACATACCATATTCAACTCTATTGAGGATATTAACGTATTTTCACTTATAAATCAACAAAACATTTAATTTGTCCATGGGTATTACATTACAATGGAATGAAAAATAATAATGCTTCCATTTTATATGTGTGTATTCATAAATTAACTTATTTGTCCATAGGTTGTTGTGGTACCCAGACAATAACCACTCTTTGTCCAAAGTCGATGCAGAATCGGATGGATTTATGAACATTGCTCTGTGGATCATCCAGCACCTCGCTCTATGATTACCAGAGTTGGGGAAATCAGGCTCTGATGGGATTACATATTTAAAATACAAACACTAAATAACTACAGATTTTCACACGTTCAGAAATTGTCACCAGTACGCTAATGTAAAAAATAAAGTGATTTAAGGTCTACTTGTTAAACTCCTGAAGAGACAAGGATGAGTCATCCAAGTGGGGCCTTTCAAAATTTATTCAATCACAGAGCACTGGTTATGTTACACATTCAAAAATGTAATCAGAAATGTCTGTAAATTTTAATCCAATACTTCCCTTCAAAGCAGATGTACATGTACAATAGAAGAGTGAAAAGGAACACGCCAACTGCACCTCTTTCTCAAGTTTGTTAGTATAGAGACCCTTAAAGTAAAATATCTGTCAAAGATAAACTTAACTTTGTCCTGGTACGTAAGTGATCATGCGCTGTTTCTATAAATGTTCTGAATGACTGAGAAAACTAGCCAATCTGATCCAAAGCCCTGAATCTCTTATAAAACCAAAGGTACTCTTGTAAACCAGCTGTAAACCAGCTGTCCTTGCCTGGTCCTGTGATGCAAGTGGCATAGAACTGCAAAATGTTTTCCTTCTAAAAAACATTTGCTGTGATGATGGGCTCTTTTCAGTAATGATGGTCTCTCTTTAGTTTGTGACTATGCAAAGTAGCAGTTTAACTCTGTTTCCTGTTGGATTCTTCCAGGCTGTCTATCTAGCTGCTCTCACTAATGATTTTGGGTTGTTAATTTGGGTCATATAAGTTATTAGACTGGTTTATTGTGTGTTCTAAAACTTTTACTGAAAGAGCTGCTTCATCTCTATTAGAAAAAAAAACGCTCATCCTCTGCTCTGCTGCAACATTAATGATTGTGTATGAAGCACTTGGTTATAATTACTGATTTTATTTCTGGTGATGTTTCTATACTACCTGTTCTTTTTCAAAATAAATATGTTTGTATGGTTTAAGCTTACCTGTCGTTTTTCCACATTGACTCACATTACTGTTCTTACAGGCTCAGTGTTTTATTGATCTTTACACATGATAAAGAATCCCTGCCTGGCAAATAATTTGTTTTAGTTTGACTCTGGTTAGCTCCTTCTTGTTGTCACAATTGCACCTGCTCCCACAGAGAAGATGAAGTTTTGCAGAGATCAGCTTCAGTTTCAGTTTCCGAATATATATTTTTGTGCAACTGTTCAACTTTGCTGTGAGGCAGGTTATAAGCAGAAATATTTTTAGATAGTATGATGTAGTTTTTTTTCCCCCCTGCTTGCCACCATATGAATCTTGCAACTTTCAAGTTTTAGGTTTTGTTTAGAGGGAAATCAACAGTGAAACATAATATCTCATGATTAAAATCACTTCCTTTTTCCTGATAGGGTATCTATCACATTGGCTGAACACCTGTGATTTGCGTACTGTATTTGTGTGTGTGTGTGTGTGTGTGTGTGAGTGTGAGTGTGAGTGTGAAGTTGTACATTTTCACTTCTGTAAATGGGTGGATGCTGATGTGAAGCTATTGTTTGCCTTTCGGTGAATTTCACATTTATCCTCTCCAAACTTGGAAACTGCTGTTTTATTCAAGTTTGCATGATTGGTGTTGTAGATGCTTGTTGGTAAGTGATTATCTGTGCTTCTGTGTGTAGTATTTAATAATGGGCAGTTACAGATTTATGGTCCAGAGTGCAAATTTATTTTTTCATTTGTCTGTTTTACTCACTGGGAGCAATATTTCTAGGCATGGTTTGAAAAGTTAGCAGTGGAAAAGTTCATTACTTTATGTACTGAATTAGCTACAGAAAAGTTTTTTATTGCAGTTAAAAGTATGGATGGCTAAAACACTCGGCATACACCAGTTCAAGTTTTCACAAATTAACAAATTGTTAAATAATGAGAAAAGGAATTATTCTGAAGTTCTAATATGCACCATAATTAAGATTAACAATATTGTCATATTTTAACGGTAGATGACTCTTTGTAAAAAAAACAACAACAAAAAACAAACCTTTGACAAGTGCATTTTTGCACAGGAAACACCATATTTCCAAATGCTGTACTTCCCAACTCACTTTTTTTATTTCAAAATGATACCTTGAAATATGGCTTGGACCAGGGCTAGGCCAAAAAATTTATTTCAGTACTAAATATGATAAGCTTATGAACAATATACTATTTATTGGTGAACTATTCCTGAGAATCTAAGTTTATAATCCGCTAATCTAATCTAATCTAGTTTTTATTATCTTGATCATTTCATAATCTAATACTCTGTGCTATGTATACTACCAAAACTTATACTAAGTATAATGGTAAGTACAAAGCCAATTCCAATAAAGTTTGCACAGTAAGTGAAATGCTAATAAAAACAGAAAGTAGTGATTCATAAACACTGTTTGACTTGTATTAAATTGAAAACAATACAAAAACACCTTATCTTCATACATTACCTTATGATTTTTGTTGTGTTTTGCCCAAAAAAGTTGTGATAGAAGTGTTACTTTAGCTTTCCTATTAACAACCTTTAATCAGTTGGGGACTGAAGACACAAACTGATCTTTTTTTTTTTTGCTTCTGTTACATACATTTTCAGCTGTGCAGATGTGCAGGGTTTTTGTTGTCATATTTTGAGCTTACTAATGCACCACTCTTCTAAAGGGGAGAAAGGTCTGGACCTGCACAGATGTACTTTGTTTTTTCTGATGCACTTTATTATCTGTAATAGGTCTGTACCATGACAGACTCTGGCTTTTAAACGTTAAGCTGGTAACAATCTGGAGGCTCTTTTTCTTCTTTGGCCTGGGGAACACAAAAGCCATGATTTTCATAAACAGTATGAATGGCCGACCACAATGCATGCTTCTACTGTGCGTCAGCCTATTCCAGATGAGCTTAAGCCCAAAGAAGTCAGCAGTGTTTCTGGACGTTGTTGACTTATGACTTCTGCTGTACATAGTCTTAATTTGCATTTGTGGTTACCAAAAAAGACTTTCTAAAATATTTTGTGGTAATATTTATTAGAGTAGCATGCCATTCTTTATGCAGTGCTTTCTCAGTGGTTGAAGGTAACAGGCATTAAATGTGGTTCACTTTGGTTTTTGGCCTTGCCTTTTATGGACAGGGATTTCACCAGATTGCTTGATCTTATGTTATTATACAAATATACACATACACATAGGGTGAAATACCTAAAATACTTGTAATCACTTTTTGAGGAATGTTATTTTTAAACTGTTGAATTTATTTGCTGATGCATTTTTGGCAGAGTGGTGAACCTTGACCCATCCTTGCACATAAAGGCCTAGGCCCTTCCTGGATGCTACTTTTATACATAGCATAATTCCATCACCTGTTTTGGATGTTTTTTTGATTATTTCACAGTGTTCTTAGTCATAAATTGGTTCTGTCCCACCTTTTTGTAATGTGTTGCAGGCATCAATTTTAGAATGTATGTGTATGCTTACATACACAATGAAGATAATATGGTAAAACATTACAATATTTTGCCTTTGTACCATTTTCATTTAAATACAGGTCAAAGAAACTTATAAATCACTCCTTTGTGATTTTTGCTTGGATGGTACTTACTGTTCTAACTTTTTTGGAATTGGGATAATCATCATTAAAACGTCACATTACACTTACAATGTGTTAGACCTTAATTCTTGTGGATGTTTATGTTAATACATGTCTCCCTGTACCTGTAGGTCATGTTTGCACCAGGATTGTGCCTGCTGTTTGTACTGAATCACCTCATTGTGGTCCGAACAATAAATCCCATGTTCTACCCTTGCGATAGTAACACTGTAAGCAATGGAGACATATATCTGGACTGCAAGCACAGAGACCTCACTAGCATCCCTAAATTTAAGTCTCTTTTTGTTATCTCCCTCAACCTCAATGAAAATCTTATTCAGCAAGTAAAAAGAGAGGATTTCTCAGACATTCCCAACCTCCAGCATCTCACTTTAATGTGGAACTGCCTACCAGGTCGTCTCAAGGCATTGAGATTACCTTCATGCAAAGTTACTATTGACCAAGATGCTTTTATTAATCTCAAGAACCTGACGTCCCTTCATTTAACAGGCAATAGCCTCAAGACCATTCCACTGCTACCACAACACCTTGAGGTTCTAGGATTGGAATTTAACAACATTTTTCGTATTGAACAGCCACTAAGAACTCCTTTCCTCAAGCAACTCCTGCTAGCTAAGAATTGCTACTTCGCCAACCCCTGTAACGAATCATTTTTCGTTGACCCAAAGGTGTTTCAGGATTTACCTGAGCTACAGAACCTCACTCTTGGCTTTAGTAATGTGACATCCGTTCCCACACAGCTGCCACCTTCACTGAAGAGTCTTGATTTGAAGGAAAACAAGATTACAGAAATCACAGAAAAGTCATTTGCAAACCTTACAAAACTCCGCTTCCTTAACCTGGAGTGGAACTGCCAAAGGTGTGACCATGCAGCTCAACCCTGTTTCCCTTGCCCAGGTAATGCATCTTTGGGTTTACACCCTGATGCCTTTTATGATCAGAGAGACTCTCTCATCAACCTGAGCCTACGGGGAAACTCACTCCGTTCCCTTCCTAAAAACCTTTTTTCTCGACTGAAAAAACTTAAAACACTTGATCTCTCAGACAATTTCCTAGCCTTCAGTATCCGTTCTGGCATGTTTTATGAGGAACTACAGAGTGTTGAGTCGCTAAACCTTCTCTACAACTATCAGCCTCTGAAATCCTTTCCAGAGCTGATTTTGTCACCCTACATTGGCCAGATGAAGGCCTTGAGGAGGCTATATTTAAGTGGCTTTTTCTTCCACCAACTGTCCAACTATAGCATTGAGCCTCTGGTTAAACTACCAAAGCTGGAGTACCTTGACCTGCGCATGAACTTCATCAGTTCCTGCAATGTCACTGCATTCAGCCAGTTGACAGCCATAAGAATGGTTGTGCTTTCCCAGAACATGTTGGCCTTTAACCCATGCTACAAAGCCAGCACTACTGACATACAGTCCAATCTCCTGACCCTGAGTAGATATCAGAGAAACAACCACCTGCAGATTCAAGAAACCCCCTACATTAGGTCAGAGTTAGGAATGAACTCTGTGCAGTGCATTAAGGCAGACTGCCCAGTAGATTATTCAATAAGGTATTTCCAAAGGTGCTTCTGTTACAGGAAGCTCTTTTTTGACTTATCTCAAAACAACATTCCATGGCTAAATGCAAGTACTTTTAGAGGAATGGAGAAAGCTGTGTGCTTAGACCTGTCCTACAACTACATGAGTCAGACTTTAAGTGGCCAGCAGTTCTACCCTCTTACCAAACTAGTTTATCTAAACATGGCACACAACCGTATTGACCTTTACTTTAACGAAGCTTTCCAGGAGCTCGGGAGCACGCTTAAGGTTCTTGATCTCAGCAACAATGAATTCCACTTTCTCATGAAAGGAATAGGTCATCACTTCACATTCATAAAGAACCTGACGTCACTAGTAGCTCTCAGTTTAGCAAACAATAATATTGGCCTTCGGATCTCTAATACTCTTACTAGTACATCTCTGAAATATCTCTGCTTCTCTGGCAATCGCTTGGACATCATGTGGGACACCAGGGGAGATCAGTACATTCGCTTCTTTCAGGGGTTGACAAAACTTACATACCTGGACATCTCTGACAACCAACTCAGATCATTCTCCCCAGAGGCAATGGTAAACCTTCCTCCAAGTATTCGTGTGCTCAGGGTGGACTCCAATCTATTGAATTACTTCCCCTGGGGCAACATCTCAGTTCTCACTCAGCTCTGCTACCTTAACCTTAGTGGAAACTATCTCTCTGACCTACCAGGCAGTGTTATCCCTTTTGGACGTAACCTGTCAAGCTTGGACTTGAGTCATAATCGACTGAGTGCAATTCCAGAGTCTTTCTTCAGCCAGGCAACAGCCCTTAAAGACCTCAGTCTCAGTCACAACCAGTTGAAGATCCTAGAGAAGCAGGTTCTCCCTCCTTCATTTACGAGTCTCATTTGCACAACCTCTTATAGAACAAAGAACTGCAAGTTGACATTGCATGCCAACCCTTTTACTTGCAGCTGTGCTACTTCTTGGTTTGCCGAGTTTCTGCGGGAAAGTCCTTTGTTTATCCCGCACCTCACCACGGATGTTCGCTGTGGTTACCCTGAGTCACAGACAGGAGTAAACATCCTTTCCATGGACCCCTCGCTCCTGCCAGGAGATTTTTGGCAATATCGCTTTTCTCTGCACCTTCCTACTTACTATTGCAGCGACTGCAATCCCCCTTTTGAAGCATCTGTTTGGCTGGGATCTGTGGTATTGTTTCCAGATACTGTGGGCAGGACACAAAGGCTACTCTCCAGTTCAAGGAGACAACATGGCGGACAATGAACATGATGCATTTGTGGTTTTTGACACAAGGAACAAGGCAGTCAGGGACTGGATCTACAATGAAATGGTGATTCACTTGGAGACAAAGGGGAGATGGCGGTTTCAGCTTTGTCTGGAGGAACGAGACTGGTTGCCAGGGTTGTCATGCATAGAGAATCTACACAGTGCCGTGTACAACAGCAGGAAAACAGTGTTTGTGCTGACGAACCATGGTGGCTGTACTTTGGTGAATGGGATCATAAGACAGACTTTCCTCCTGGTCCAGCAGAGGCTGCTGGATGAAAAAGTGGATGTGGCAGTGCTGGTTCTTCTGGATCCTCTTTTCCCTAAGCTCAAGTACCTGCAGATGAGAAAGAGACTCTGCAGGAAGTCAGTTCTGTCCTGGCCCAAGAACCCTCGGGCCCAGCCTCTCTTCTGGAATGACCTTCGTATTGCTTTAGCCTCTGACAATGTAAAGTCCTATGATAAGAAAGTCACAGAGAGCTTCCTGTCACATGAGCTTCTCTAAGTCAGGGAACTGAGAGATACTTTTCATGTTAAATATATTAAGCAATTCAGAACTGCTAACTTGATTAAAGGGAAATTATAGGATGAAAGCAATTACATTTGATGTAAAAATGTCTGGCTACAACACAATAGAAATGTGTATGTGTATATATTATACCTGAAAGCAAACTCACTGTAATTTTATTCAAATTGCCAATGCCAGTTTTATGAAAACGAAGAAATGGGTGGAATAGGATTGAAATAAAAATGCTGACTTCTTTCCATTAGTAACAAAGTTAATACAGTTGTATACAAAAGTTTGAGTGTCCCTAATCATATTATGTTTTGTTCTAAGTGAAACTAAGTACACATCCTCTGTGACCTACACATTTGTGTGTTTTCCTGCACTAATACACCCACATCAGCTCAAAATGGGCTTGGTAATTAGCTGATAAGTGGAATCAGGTGTGTTCAGAGCAGGGAAAACACTAAAATGTGCAGGATGGGGTGCTCCAGGAGCTGGGAACCACTGCTCTGCAGAGAACACACCTCTGCACATGTTAATGCACAATTACTGTTTGTTTGCTGAATTCAACATAATGAAAAAAGCATAAAATATTTAATGTGGCCTGTGCAAAACCTATGGCACATTTTATGTTTTATGTTGTATTGTTTCCAATAAGTTAAACTCAAATAAATAGATATCATGCAGTACAAGATGTAGAAAATGTCATATTTAATTCCTTGTAGAGGATATGAGCACTTTTTTCCACTTACAATCAGCAAAACGTCATTTGGCTGGGGGTGTTCAAACTTCTGCATATGACTGTAGGTTTTTGCATGTGTTTTGGTTTGCATTATTTTCATTTGGGTTATTTGTGGACAATGTCTCTCCTTTTCTTTGTGCTACAGTTGTCTGTAACAGGCTTCTTTCATACTAACAGCACTTGCCTGTTGATGCTTTTTTTGTCTCTTATTTTGAAGCCCTCTTCATGAATTTGAACACACGGCATCTCTCAACAAAAGGAAATCACCTTTTTGTGTCGTTTTAATCAACAGTATTCATAAAGTAACCATGAAGTCAGACCTTGATTTGCTTTTTTCAAACTGTAGCTAAACAAAAATACTTTGCTGGGACTTTCCCTTGTAGTGGCTTGTTCACTGAAACAGAACGTTCTATCTTTCTTGTTTCCTATGAATTCTTACGGTTCCTCTTTGTAAGAGTTTCAGAGTAATGCGTGATAATTAACTGACTCTCCGCCTTGAGAAATATAGCTGTGCGGTGACAGCTGAATCACTGCCTTGGCAAGTAACCCACATGCTCATTAGATCTATTTGTTGTCACTGAGTTTTGCATTAATGTAATTGACAATTTGGCTAGTGCAGTGAATGGAATCGATATTTTTGGAGAGTCTTTTTATGCTCCGTTGAGCCTTAATATATAGCCTGCTGTCTCAATAAATGAGGGAAATGCATGGTAGGTTACAGGGGTCTGTTCTGGGAAGGATGCTGGCTCTAGCCTAATGTGAAACTACAGTAGCTTAGCATAGTTGCTGATGAATTGAAGACAAAAACAGACAGCAAACAGTTAAACTGTTCTCATCAGATGTACAGTTCAAATTAAAGGAAGAACATGAATAAATGAGTGGAAAAGCATATCAAGTGCAGATGCTTCCAAACAGGTGTACTGCAGTTAACATCCTACCACGCTCTATAGCATGTGTAAAAATTCTGAGCAGGCCTAGTTGGCCTTGATTTAGGATTAAGACGGTAAGTGGAAAAGATCCAAGTGACTTTGAAAGAGGCATGGATAGCAGGAACTTCAGTCATAAAGACTTCTTAACGGGCTGGTGTTTCAATAGAACCAATGACTGATGTAACATCTGCATTTAGATCTACACTCTTAAAAAAAGATTTTTCAAGGGTTGTTTAGTAAAGGGAATCGTTCTATTTAGAACCATGTCATGCTTTAATGGTTCTTTGCATGGTAAAATGGTTCTATTTAGCACCAAAAAGAGTTCTATTCTTACAAGCTTGACATCATGACAATAGAAGAACCCTTTTTAGTGCCATATAGAACCATATATAACACATTCTCCATCTATCTCCAGAACCATTTAAGCATAAAATGGTTCTCTGTAGAACGCATGATTCTAAATAGAACCATTCCCTTTACTAAACAACCCTTGAAGAACCATCCTTTTTTAAAGAGTGTATGAGACAGACATCAGTAAACAGGACTGGGAATTGTGGGTGAAAGTGCACATTCAGTTACTGTGATGTTAGTGCGTTAGTGTGGTATGTAAGGAAAAACACAAGTGTAACTGTTCCTTAGGTGACTGAAAATGTCAATGCAGGACTCGATCATACTGTGTGAGCAAGAACAGTGCATCCTCAACTTGACAGAGATGTTAAAAGAACTGTAAGATGCCCTTAATGAGAATTCTTAATTGAAAATTCGGTCACTTTTCTGTAATTGATTAGCAGTTTTAGTAGGCCTGCAGTTGGAATAAGTTGTGAAAAATGAGGTAAGTACTGCCGGTACAACACCATTTATTGTGTGATCGTTTAGTCATGAAGTACAGCCTGTGCCCGGTGGCTTGTACAGCAGCTCATCCAAATTTCTTATTAATTCAAGGGTATTAATAGAGAAATTGTGTACAAACCTTTGGATGTCTGATGTATATAGGTCAGTAAATAATGGGGAGTTTGTCTACAAACTTTTGGACATGTAAGGTAAATTATATATCTGAGTTGGACAGTGTGTATAAAAATGAGAACTGGTTTATAAAAATGAGAAAGCTTCTTGTGTAAGTTTTTCCACATGTACTATTCATCATGCCATTCTCTCCATGAAGTTAGGTTAACAAATCACTCAATATCACTTCAGTCCCAATTTACCCCCTGCAGTTACGCAGCTGAGGTTGTGAAATGGAGACATGGTCCTTATAGAGGGTCTTTTGCCATGTATCACATGGCGTTTATTTTTATTCATTTTTTATAAGGTGGTGAAGGTGCTGCTGAGGCATAGTCCCCTATTCAGCAGTGACCCTAACATTCAGTTCATGTTGCATCAGGTGCGTTGGGAACTCTAAAATGTGTAGGATGGTGGTTCTCCAGGTCTATTGAGAGACTGAGAACCCACTGCTATAGAGCAGTTCATTTAATCTAGCATGCGCAAATCTGAAGAGGAGCTGTCCAGTGCTGAAACAGAGAGCAAACTAAAAAGACATTACATTCTGTTTAATGCTGAGAACCAAACTTCCTATACACTCAAGCAGATTTACAGCTATTTCTGTCTCTGTTTAGATGCTCATATTTTATGTAAAGATGACTGTTCACTATTTTTATTTCAGCTGTTCATTATTTTTATTGAGATTTTTAGATCAATAGTAAAAATTCAATTTAAAAATAATTTTTTAAAAGGAACATAAAAATAGTCAATTTACTCAAAATGGTAAAGGATAACAGCTGTCATGGCTGCATAACGTGGTGTGGGTGTGCTCCCTGCTGAAAATGGTTTCATGGTTATCATTAGTGACCACTGGTTTCATGATGTAACGTGCCATGAATTTCAAAAGGGTTACACTTTATTCAGCTTTTCCAAGGACAATGCACATAATTAATATTTCTGCTAATGTATCAGTTTAGCCAGCTTGGCTACCTTGAAACTGCAGTCCCTGGGCAGGTACAAAAAGCAAAATGCACTGACCAAAATTCATAAACATACATAAAATATGAATAATCCATGCAGCACAGTACAACATACACAATAAAGCACAATAACAATGCAAAGCGCTCTTGCACATATACACGCAGCTCATTCCAAGTGTGAACTTCTCTAACAGAAACAAAAAAACATCTTCACAACATAACAGCTTACCACTGTTCTAGTGAGTCTACTGTCAGTTGTTTTCTGCTTAAGGAAAGCAGTGAGGAGGAACCAGACCACAGGATCTTATATACAAGACACATAAATACAGAACAAGGAAAAATAGTTCGTGTAAACTTTATGTAACGACTTTCATGGGTAAAAATCAATGCAGTTTCAAGGCAGTAACCACATAACTGTGTTGTTATTGTTATAATACCCCATCCAGTCCATCCGACTACACAGTTAAAAAAGATGGCTCTTCCGAGCTCTATTTAGAATCATGAGTTTTATCTAGAACCACTTCAAGCATGTTAAAATGGTCCTTCAGATTGATGTAGAATGTGTTCTATATGGTTCTATTTCCCGGCTATACTTTCATTTCCTAAAACCATTCTGAGAATATTGCGCACATGTTCTATTAATGTTCTCAGCAGGATTTTTTTTTTCTTCAGGGAACGTTCTCAAAAAACATCTAACCTGTGGCCCTGACAACATCATTGCAGCTAAAATGTTGTCTTAGTTAACATCTAACTTTACAGGAACATTATTTGAAATGATAAACAACCTTGAAATGTTCTTAATATTAAAAGGCTTTCTTTAAAGCATTATTAGAACTTGTGGGTAACGTTAGCCAAAGTTGGGGCGACTTTCCTTGCTAGCTGGGATAGAACCTTTTTGAAAATGTTTATACATACATACATACATAACTACATATACATATATAACTACACTACAGGCATGTATAGCACCAAAAAGGGTTCTTCTAACTTTATACATACATACATACATAACTACATATACATATATAACTACACTACAGGCATGTATAGCACCAAAAAGGGTTCTTCTATTGTTACAAGCTTGACATTGTAACAGTAGTGGAACCCTTTTTGGTGCTACACAGAACCAGTTCTATATAGAACCAAAAACAACACATTCTCCACTTCATCATACAATCAAAGAACCGTTTAAGCATAAAATGGCTCCATGTACGACTCATCGTTCTAAGTAGAACCATTGTCTTTACTTAAGAACCCTCTTTTGTGCAGTCTAATTATGAAGTAATGCCTCTTGTTTACAGCATTAAAAAGAGTCTGAGTCAGTTGCCTCGCCTCCCATGACAGCAGCCTAAAAAGGAGCGCTAACTCCGCCTTTCTGTGATGGGGATAAACGCCCTCCTCGCAGAGCGCCCGTCTTTCCCCCCACTGCCCCTTTAACAGGCTCGCCAGCGTCCCACAGCAGCGTCCCCAGGAAACGGGAGGCGACGGGACTGTGTAAGGACAAGCCGGAGCCGCCTCACCTCAGCCGGCGAGTGGACCCTGTTAGGCTCGTCTGGACTGGTAGGTCACCGTAAAGCCGCCGCTCGCTGTTCAGATGTAGTTTATGAGGGGCTGCAGCAGCGCATATGGGGAATAATCCGCCTATATGAGGGTCGGTGGTCCGTTCGGGGGAGGGGGTAGGAGGGTAACACGAAGTGCGTATACGACTGGATCTGTTGCACCGTAGCAGGGTGGGGGTACTGGGATTGTTACGTTGCTCCGTTGGGCATCTTTTCTGAAAGTGCGATCACTTAACAGGCTGACCCTCTCAGCAAAGTGACCCTTTTGGCTTCATTAACTACCTCAAAGTAATGATACAACATTCCTATTAACTGCATCAGAGTAACACATCAAGCAGAAGCTCTGTAACCAGTGCGGCGAGGCTGGAAGTGAAGGCATGTGAACAAAGTGAAATGGAGCAGAGAACTGAGCGAAGTCCTTTTCAGAGAGGCAGAGACGGACAGTGGTCATCAGTGCATTGGTGGCACATGTAGCTGGAGGACTGCGCGCTGGCGAAATTGCTGCGACCCACATCCTGAAGCGAATGTTACCCACTTAGCCCTTAGCCCACACGAGCGTTAGCCTAGTTTGACACTACAAGAATTATAAAACCTTTGGGGCTTAATCCACTGCCAACATGACATTACACTTTAATGATGTTAGCACTGCACGCGTGTCAAAGCCCCCTTTGGGGCATCTAGAGCTTTGGTGCCTTGTTGGGGTCTGGATGGTGACAGATTTGGGACCTTTTATTATTTTTTTTAAAGGGATTGACATCTGCAGTGATTGACAGTCACTTTATCCTCTCCCTCGACCGAGGCTTACTTAGATGACATCACCATCCAATCACTTTAACTAAGAGGAGGGATTTCAGTCCTATACCCATCTGTTGCCCTGTCCATCTCTGGGCTGGCTGTCATATCACGTTATTTCGTAGAGAATCATTATTAGTTCCTATTATTTCTGTTCTGTTTTAAGAGACACCATTAAAACAAACGTGAATGAGATACTAAAGTTGTGGTTATGTCTTATAAAGTGTTACCATAATGCTTTAATAGTAGTGTTCATAACACGTTATACTGTCAGTGCTAAAGAAACTTGCATAGTGCACTAAGACTAACAAACCTGCTTAATCATATAGTGCATATAATGTTACATTTTGTAACATTTAATATTAAATGGACAGCTTATATAGGTGACATTATGCGTATACAGTCAAATGCAAAGTTTTGAATCTCCTTTTCATTCGGTATGTTTTGTTGATTTTCTAAGCCAAAATAAGCTAACGTCCTCTACAGGGCGTAAACCTAAAGATTACATTGTTCTTCATATTTTAGAACAGAACACAATTTTTTGCTGAGTTTATCATATTGGAAAAATATATAAAAGGTCCCAATTTATGTTTTATGTTTCCCCACAATATGTTAAATACAGAAAATAAAACAGAAACTGTGCATTAAAATGTGCAGAAGTGTTCTCTGCAGATGATGTGTTAACATATTTTCACTTAGAAAATCAACAAAAAGTGTAATTTTGTCCAGGAGTGCCTAAACCTTTGCAACTATATATTATTGTTAGATGATGTATAACACCACTATGAGAACTTCTAAGTTGTATTCCTGGTTTCTCAGTAAAGGCTGATGACTAGGAGATAAATTAAGTGCTAATGTTGTAGAAATCATGGCTTGGTCTAGCATGCCTTTGTGAATAGGCAGATCTATTGGATATAATGCACTGTGCATGCTGGGAGTTTCTTTGGCACTGACAATATAAAGTTTAATGAGCACAACTTATAAAGCAATTAATAGTAATAAACCTTAAGGTGCATTTATAGGCATGTTTATAATGCCTTATAGAAGCATTATAATGTGTCATGATTGTGGTTATAGTTTCTTACATAGTGCATAAAAGTCTAAATTAATTGGATTCATTGATTTGCAGTTTCTTCCTGCCTCTGTCTTTGGCTGTTTTAATTTAGACTCCTCTGTACTTTTCTTGGTAGCACTGTTTTCAAAATGCCTAGGAATTCCATTTAAGCTATCATGATTTCAGAACATTTTTTGGAAACTCTCAACACCTGAATACATATCCGCATTGCAGTTTACTATGGAGCTGGATGTTCTTTTAAAAGCTTCTTCTTTCTTTCTCTCTCTAGATCAGACCCTGAGCTCTGTGGATCAGTAAGGTAATTGATTAGATGTAACAGTTCCTCATGGTTTGAATGCACTCCCTCTTAGTAAGTGCTGGCGTGTGGCCAGACCTGGACAGAATGCATATGGAACGTCAATATAAGGCGGCCATTCAAAGTGCCTTTGTCAAGACTTAGTTGTTGTTTATCTAAGTGAGGGAAGACAGTGTATGCAGAGGCGTGATATCGCTGTAGACATCATTGCCTTTTTCTCTCTCCCCCTTTCTCTCATTCTCTCCCCTCTCCCTCTCTCTCTCCTCCAGATTATATTAAAGATGGCCTGAAGTGAGTCTGTGAGTTCCAAAGCAATTAGCAGCCTCTTGGTGAGAGAGACTTGTACGCTGCTATGACACTCCAAATAGTTTCACCCCAGGCTGTCACTTGGCATTCCAGCACAAAAGATTGAGACAAGATGACGCACATCTTTTCATGTGTGGCACCAAGTGGTAGCTTGACAATAAGCCACTGTGGAAAAGATGAGACCTGAGACATGCAGTTCATTTCAACACTGTTGAAATATGCTGCATGAACTTGACAGTTAAACATAGACCTGCAAGCTTTCAAACTTTGAAAGAATAATTCTAATTCTGCGAGGCCAGTTATACTTCTGAAAGAGTAACTCTGTAAAAGAAGAGTTTTCAGTAATAGAAAAGTATAATGTTCCTTGTCACAACATTGTACCAAGCCATAAAAAAGAAAGGTTAAAGAAGAAAATGTGAAGTGAACAAAACAGGACTTTCACATAAGCACATTCTCTACTTATCAACCTGTTACACTCTAAGGAACCTTTGGTAGGCCCAGACTTACGTACCTCATTCTCATAACTGCGTATCTTCATTGCACTTACTGGGTAATTTGTAGTAGTTACTAGACAGTAGACCTATATTAATAACTGAATTATAATACCATAATGTATGGCAGCGCACGGTCCGTTGGGCATGCTGAGGCCAGCCCATCCCGATCCCCACACCTCCCTCGGTCCCCTAGAATGGGCCACCGGCGGGTCAGTGCTGGCAGCAGGGGCAGCAAGTCTAGTAGTGGTGGAAAAACTCTGTCCATGGAGAATATCCAGTCCCTCAATGCTGCCTATGCAGCATCTGGTCCAGTCTACTTGAGTGATCACGAGGCACTGGCCTCCTCTGCCTACCCAAAAGGCACCATGACCTTGGGGCGCGCCACAAGCCGGACATCCTACGGGGGAAGGGCCACCGCGATGGGCAGCAGCCCCAACATCAGCTCCTCTTTGGGGCATCTTCACTCAGACTCGATGGGGTACGGAGATCACGGAGCCATGCATCTCCACTCGCTGCAGCACCAGGGGCCTTCTTCTCCACTGCTAAGACAGGCCGTGCGGGGCGTGGCCAGAGGAGACGGGGGCCCCCTGATGGAGCAGTTGAGGGAGCTGCAGAGGGAGAATGACATATTGAGGAGGGAGCTTGACGTAAAGGACAGCAAGCTGGTTTCTTCAGTCAACAGCATCAAGAGCTTCTGGAGTCCTGAGCTAAAGAAGGAACGAGGAATGAGGAAAGAGGAGGTGTCAAAGACGTCCATACTGAAGGAGCAAATGAGAGTGCTGGATGACGAGAACCAGGTAAGCAACCCAAACTCTTAAAAATAAGGTTGCCAGAATACAGATGCCGCGATAACTTTCAACAGAGTGATTTCGACTGAGTTCTTTTTAAGAAACTGAATGGTTCTTAAGAGAAACAAATGTGTTTCTCCTATGGCTTAGCTCCAAAGAATCCTTTTTGGCACCACAGAATGAGAGTCATTCCATATCCTTTTTTGCTAATCACTGCTAATTTCTGTTCCATCTTGCAATAGTTCAATATCTTTGAACTGTCCTTGATATTCTTGCTTACAGAGCCACCTGAGACATGTTCTATAACAATATCTTTGAATTTATGGTAACACTCTGCTACATAACATTGACATAACTGTGCCATAAATATGACAGTTCTACAGGACTGGTATTGATCTGGAAACACTTTGCCAGAGTTACAGACCTCTTGCTGTGACTCGGCAAATTCAGCAACACTTTGCTTAAACCCTTCTACATAACATTGTACTGGTAACCGTCAGGACATGTATCATAGTGTTTGATGTACACCAATGATTCAATACAAAAATGCGCATGTGACATAAGCTGTCATGACAGTAAGCATTATGGCATCTGACAATATTTATATATTAAATTAACAGACAAAATCTGCTATATATACATGGTTATGTCAGTGTTATGTGGAAGGGTTCAGATAAAGTGTTACCAAATTTGCCCAGTCATAGCAAGAACCAGTGAAAGACAGAAAAGAGTCCACAAGTGTTTCCAAATCAATACCAGTCAATTCTCTTGTAGAGCTCAGACACAATAAACACAAATAACAAAGCAGGACAAATCATTTTCTGTACCACCATTGATGGATATATCACTATTTAGCTTATTTTGACTTTAGATTACTAATACACTTTATATACAGCAGAAAACATACAGTTCAAGTAAATAAATGCCTTGCACTGAATGGCTTTCCCCAGTTTTTTGTTAGACTTTTGGCCTTGTTATTTAGCCTGCCTCACCTTGATTTGAAGGTGTTCTCCAACTTATCTGAGACTCAAATACTTTCCCACCGATTATTTTAGTCAGCAGTGAAAATCTCAAAAAAAGAAAGGCCATTGGACTGTTTTGGGGATTGATTTTTACTGGATAGTGTTGCCAGGGAAATGATGGCACATATGCCAGCACTCATGCTCTGAGCTGCAGGACAGGAGCAGGTCTTTATAACAAGTCTCAATTATTCTGAGTTAAGAAGGCACTTCCTGCATGCTTGTCTGCCTTCTCTGATAGCAGCGTGTGTCAAGCTATATTTTCTCTCCTCACGTTGCCATAGAGACGACAGCCTTAAGTCTCAAGTCTGCTATTTCACTGACACTCTTTTAAAGGAAAACTTTAACCTGTATTTGGTAAATAATTTGCCACACAGTTGTAGGTGGCTTGGTGGTGATGCAAAGAACTGGCTATTTGCATGCTGCACGAGATGAGACAAAGAGGAAAGTTAGGTCCCTTTTCTGTCTTCTGATAGGCATCTCCAAGCTGTCACTGAAAAAAGTGGTGTAGTCCTGCTCTTGATTGGTTATGGTAACTTTTTTGTGATCAGTTTTTACTGAGAAGACAACACACCAACCACAAGAACTACCCACAGCATCATTAGTAATAATCCCAAGTATTAAGACAATGGAAGCATGCAATAAGCACTGTTCACTGATCTCTTAGTATGTTTAACAGCTTTGTTCAACTAAGATATGCAGTACTGTATAGTGCAGGGGTGTCCAATCTTATCCACAGAGAGCCAGTGTGGCTGCAGGTTTTTACTCCAACAAAGCAGAAGGTCACCTGATGAAATGTTTGAAGACTGAAACCAACTGATTAAACAAGTAGAATCAGGTGTGCTCCAGCTTGTTTGGAGTGAAAGCCTGCAGCCACACTGGCCATTTGCACACACCCCTGGTATAGTGTATAAAACTGTATACCTCAGCATTGTTTTGACTGTGAAAACAATATTAAATATTAGAATAAATACAAATAAACAAAAATACTGTAAAACATAATGCTTTTTGTATTCAGTAAAGTTATTAGTACCTTGGTTAGAATAATACATTTAGAGGAACACAGGTTTGGCTCCTACCTTCTTGGTGAACTCCAGTCATTGCATGGATTTTTTTCCTGATTTAGTTTAATGAAGGACTGATTAGCTGAACTAGGTATTGAATGGTAACTGTAAATAAACACTGCACTTGCTTGCTTGGAAATCGTTGAGGTAAAACACTCATAAGCACACTCATAGTCACAATGTGTTGGTTATTAATTTCTATCTATTCTAATATTAGTGTTTTTTTGAATAATTAAATGTTTTTTTCAGATGATTAAGACTTTTGCACAGTGCTATCATTTTCTAATTGTCCCCTTATTTATCTTAGTCTTTGTACATTCTAAAAGAGTAATCTCTCTGAAGGAGAAGATCGAACCATAGTTTTAACGTTGGTTTTTTGGCTGCCATGGGGTCTTTTTGATGGATAAGCAGTGGTTCTGTTGGTATTAAAGGGGAACTCCACCACTTTTGCAAATTTTCTGTATAATTCAATTGTTGAGATGTAGACAAAGTCATTCGGAGTGGTTTGATTTGGAATGCTCCGTTTTAGAGAAACGTACAGACTCAGATTTAGCCCTTTTATTTACTATCACCAGACTAAACCAGAACCTACACGTGTCATTTGAGTTTATATATGGAATGGTGATGATGGTAAAATAGTGGTAAATCTGAACAACATACATTTTCTTTGGAAACTGTTTTGCCTCAGAGCGCCCTGCATGCATCTTTCCAACATGATTAGATTTTAAAAGTTAGGGTTTAAGACAATAGATAAGGTTTTTTGGCCAAAATATTGTCAAATTTATCATAAAGCAATATCTCAGATATCTAGCAGAAAAAATCCTAACCATTTCATGTAATAACTTTCTGTGAGAGAGCTTTTAGAGGTGGACGTTTGGTTCCTATCACCACCACTCTGAACAATTCTGACCCGGTAAGTTTCTCTAGCAGAGCATTTCACACTAAACCAATCTGAATGACTTTATTTACATCTTTACCCTCTAATTGCAAAGAAATAATCAGTGGAATTCCCCTTTAGCTGTTTGTTAATGCTGCTTCAAGGCATTTCACAAGGTGCCCAATTGAGATGTCCAAGTGTGGTTGGACGTTTTAGAACTGTTCTCAGTGCTTTCAGTTTCTATTGAGTAGCTAATCTAACCGCCTGTGGCACCATTCTCCTGGCCCACTGTCTAGTCTGTCAGCTGGGCTGTCTAAACCCTCTAGGCTTGGGGGGCCATCAGTACGTCTGTATGCCAAAAAAAGAATCTATCCTTATCTGCATCCTTTGTGGCTGAAACTTTCTCACTCTATCTTCTCCCTTTTTCTCTTACTCACTCACTACCACATGCACTTCTATTTTCCTTTCTCAAGATTACTTATAGGTTCGATTTTGCGATTACATAAGTGAACTGAATATTTTGTCATAGCAAAACAATTCTATTACACGGCTCAATGCCATGGTCAGATACCATGAAGAACATCATGATCTTCAGAGCTTTAGTGCTTGGTGTCTGGTTGTATTGCTGTTGGTTGCTAATGAACAGTTTAAGTCTCCTGCCATCATGGGTTACGATAAAGACCTTACTAATCTTTACACATCTATCTTGACCCAGAATTGCTGCCTTTAGGGATGACTAGAAAAGAAGGTATAGATTAGTTTCTGTACTTGGTCTATGACTAATGAAAAATGAGTCCTATTATGGTTTAAGTAGCATGACAAAGAGTTAATGGTGTGCAATTATAATTAAATTGCAAAGTGCATAGTTAACAAAGCTATTTATGTAGCAATTATTCAACACCAAATTGGCTTGCAAAGCTCACAGTTCGAGAGAGAAACAAAGGCAAAAACATCCAAAGGAGTACTCCTGCTTAAATTCAGAAGCTTTGCCAGAGCTTCCAAACAAGAGAAACAATTGTGTTGCATGCCAACTGCCATACTGTTTTATATATTTATTTTTTTTTGTGGAGAACAAACAGGATTATGGCCGCTGTGTAGCAATTCACCACATTCATCACATTCCAATAGTGACAATGGAGTTGTTGCATCGCTAGAAAATATTCTTAATTTCACTCTTAATTCTCAATTTCATAGATCTAGACAATGTTATTAATATTTGAAAATGTGGTACATTGTTTATTTTGAGGATTGTGCATTGTGACAAACAGTACTAGATATTTTAATTGTGCTTAGGGCCCATTTTAAAGAAAACTGCTTTCCCCTCACATTGTTTTAAGTTTCAAAATGTACCATTCACTTCCAAGTCCATACAGTCCATCTATTTAAACTAAGCTACAACAGCCAGCTTTTAATTTATTGGATTTTATTTCTTCATTGTCATGAGAACCAACTCATTTACACATATGCACCTCCCCATGCAGTTTTGCTCCCCTTCATATTGAAGTTGTAAGGAATGTGTCGGCTCTGAGTGCCTTTTGATGCGCACTACAAGGTAGCCAATCAGAAAAGAACTCATTTACATATATCAGTATTGAAGGCACAGTACCAAAAACAGCCTGTTTACTTCTAAGGGATAAAGAGAGGTTTCCTTCTTTTATAAGTTCATAAGTTTCTCTTGTAGTGATAAACAAATAAATGTATTAATAAAAAAAATCTTTTGAATTATTATGATAGACCCTCTGGTTTCTGACAACAGGCTGCAACAAGCTCCACACTCTTAATGGTAATAAAGGTAGAAAATGGGTTGAAAATTGAAGTGCTAAATAGTCAGTTTAAATTATCACTTGTTTTAGTGTATCACTTACATTCAAGGCAATCACGGTCACTTTGAGTCATATGATTCCAAAAGACCTTTTTGGCACCTGTTGATAAACAGCCATTAAGATAATTAAGCTAATTGATCCAATTAGCAGTAATAAGGCTCATGGCTTGGTCAGTAGGAGTCTCGTCCAGTTGGTGATATGCTTTTAACTAAATAATGGTAGAACG